GGGAGCCAGTGTTGGAGGTTACCTCTAGCCACATCATACATGGCCATCGAAGCCTGTTAGCAGCAACGTTTTCCACTTTCCAGTCAGTAGATCACATGCGCGGTTCGTTCGTGAAGCGCGAAGAGATTGAATGGCTCTTCTCGTGTTTTTCTTGCACCAGGAGCTACGTGCGTTGATTAGCTTTGGCAAATTCGCTATTTGCGACGCTCAGTTTCGCAATAATGGTACCCGTCGTTCTAGTAACACTTCTCGTCTTGTTCGCGGGTTCAGTTTTAGTTCCTCCGGCAATCGCTGTGTCCAATCACGGCATACCATGTGGCGTGTCTGTGGTGAAAGGACGACGGCAATTCCAGGAAGATAGAGTTCTCTGCTCGGCTCTTATCCCCGTTCCAGCTTTCGATATTGTCACTCAAGGTGCACATTCAGGTTCCTGTTCCAGGCCTCTATATTGTCGTCACTCAATCACAGTTTCAGAATCCTGTTCCAAGCCCTCAATATTGTCACTCAAGGTACGATTTCACGGCGTGTACCTGTTTCTTAACCTTGTGTTTGGGAACTTTACATACTTTATGCCGAAATAGCAGTGAGAGCCTTTGGAATGCTTGACTCCATCATGCCAACATGCAGCATCCATCATGCCAACATGCAGCATCTATCATGCCAACATGCGGCATCCATCATGCCAACATGCAGCATCCATTGTGCTAACATGCAGCATCCATCATGCCAACATGCAGCATCCATCATGCCAACATGCAGCATCCATCGTGCTAACATGCAGCATCCATCATGCCAACATGCAGCATCCATCATGCCTACATGCAGCATCCATCATGCCAACATGCAGCATCCATCATGCCAACATGCAGCATCCATCATGCCTACATGCAGCATCCATCATGCCTACATGCAGCATCCATCATGCCAACACGCAGCATCCATCATGCCTACATGCAGCATCTATCATGCCAACACGCAGCATCCATCATGCTACTAACATGCAGCATCCATCATGCCAACATGCGGCATTCACCATCCTAAGATGCAGCATCCATCATGCCTACATGCAGCATCCATCATGCCAATATGCAACATCCATCATGCTAATATGCAGCATCCATCGTGCTAACATGCAGCATTGATCATGCTAACATGCAGCATCCATCATGCCAACATGCAGCATTGATCATGCCAACATGCAGCATCCATCTGCTAACATGCAGCATTGATCATCCTAACATGCAGCATCCATCATGCTTACCTCTCAAAAACGTTTAAAAATAATCCCCCCAACAACCCTTACTCCAGGTGGCCACACCCGCCAGTGGGCAGTGCAGGTGGTGGGGGTACTGGACGGGCATGGAGGAGGCGAGGCCAGCCACACCGCACCACAGACACCACACCATAGCACACCATTCATACATTGTTCACTATCTCTCAAACATTCCCCCGTTCAGGTGGTCGAGTCCGCCAGTGGGCGGTGCAGGCGGTGGGGGTGCTGGACGATCATGGAGGCGGGGAGGCCAGCCACAGCACAGCACACCACACTGTCCATTAACTATCCACTATCCCTCAAACACCCTCTCATCCAGGTGGTCACACCCGCCAGTGGGCGGTGCAGGCGGTGGGGGTGCTGGACGGGCATGGGGGAGGCGAGGCCAGCCAGCTCGCCGCCTCGTGTCTCCTTCCCTCCCTGCGCGCCAGACTCTCCGCCCTGCCTCATTCCTCCAGCTATTCACCACCCCACCCCACCCATTAGCAATCTACTATTCTCCAAACCAGTCATCCATTGCCCTTTCTCCACGATGTTTCTGTTAACTTTGCTCCAGGTGGTCACACCCGCCAGTGGGCGGTGCAGGCGGTGGGGGTGCTGGACGGGCACGGGGGAGGCGAGGCCAGCCATACCAAACCATTTGTTGACTATCTGCCATCCTCCAATCATTTCTCACCCTCCATCCAGATGGCTGCGCCCGCCAGTGGGCGGTGCAGGCTGTGGGGGTGCTGGACGGGCACGGGGGAGGCGAGGCCAGTCAGCTCGCAGCCTCGCGCCTCCTCCCTTCCCTGCGCGCCAGACTCGCAGCCCTGCCTGCTCTCAGTGGAAAGCAGTCGCAGTGTGACTGCAAGGCCGTGCATGAGTCGCAGGCGGCCGCTGGAAGTGATGGTGGGAGGGATGGGAGGGATGGTGATGGGAGGAATGGGTTTGAGGGTGGGAGGCATGGTGATGGAAGGGATGGGTGTGAGGGTGTTGGAAGCGGCAGGAGGCGTGCAGGCTGTGCTGGTGAAGGGATGGTGGAGGAGAGAGTGGAGGAGAGAGAGGAGGAGAGGGAGGAGGAGGGTGAGGAAACTGAGAGGGAGTGGGAGGAGCAGGAGAGGGTGAGAAAGAGGGTGCTTGAAGGAGTGTTAGCAGGCGCTCTGGAGGATGTAGATGCGGAATTCGCACAGGTAAGCAACCACTGTTGGCATGGCACAGGTGTACGAATGGGTTTTTGAGGCGCCTCAAGAATAGAAGAGGGTGCTTGAAGGAGTGTTAGCAGGCGCTCTAGAGGACGTGGATACGGAATTCGCACAGGTAAGGCAATCACTGGTGGAGCATGGAAGTCCTCTGTGCCTCTATCTAAAATGGCTCAGCATACAGACCCCCTGAGGCTTCTGAGTCTCAATGTTGCGCAAGCAGAGATTGAGAGATTCAGCATAGGTACCCTCAATCTCGGCCCCCTCTGAACCCTCCTTCCTTCTCCTCGTCCCCCGTCCCCTCCACCCGTCCTCCTCCATACTCTCCCTCTCCTCCTTCTCCGCCCCTCCGATCCCTCCTCCTCCGTCCCCTCCGCCCCTCGTCCCCTCCCAGGAGGCTAGCAAGCACCGCTGGTGGTCGGGCTCTACCGTTGCTGTGGCCCTCCTTGTCTTTCACCGCCTGCTGTGTGTTCACCAAAACCCCCTGTGCACGCACTACCCCCTGTGTCGTTGTATTGGCCTCTCACAGGAGGCTAGCAAGCACCGCTGGTGGTCGGGCTCTACCGTTGCTGTGGCCCTCCTTGTCTTCCACCGCTTGCTGCCCTCGCCTCCTTGCTGCCACCCCCACCGCACACACGCCCACCACACGCCACCCAGCCACTGCAAGCTCTCAAGCTCCCCAGATGCATGCACTGCTATCCAAGGGGGGGCATCGGAGTGGGAGGTGCAGCACTTGACAGTGGCCAACGTAGGAGACTCTAAGGTTCTCGTCTGTGGCGGTGGCAAGAGGCATGGGGGCCAGACGGTGGGGGTTCGAGAGAGGCATATGAGTGCAGCAGGGGAGGAGCAGCGGATGAGTCAGGGGCGAGGAGATGTGAAAGAGGGTGTGCTGCAGGGGACTGTTGAGAAGCAGGGTGTGCTGGCGACCACTGATGGCATGATGCGGGCTGTGAAGGACCCGGACATTAGAGAGCATGCCATTTCTGCAGAAGCAGGGGTGCGTGAGTGGAGGAGATGGCCGATGGGAGGAGTCTTGGATAGGGGCAGGCAGCCTGTGTCGGTGTGTGGTTGCAGGCAGGCAGCGGAGCAGAGCATGGACGAGCAAGGTGAGTGAAGTGAAGCATAGCTGATGCAAATGAAAGAAAACAAGGCAGCTTAGACAAGGCGTCTCCAGGCGCCTCAGAAAGGCAGGCAGCCTGTGCTGTGCCGGTGTGTGGGTGCAGGCAGGCAGCCGAGCAAAGCATGAGTGAGCAAAGTGAGACCCCTCCTCTGGTTACCACTTCATCTGGTTACCGCTTCCTCTGGTTACCACTTCATCTGGTTACCGCTTCCTCTGGTTACCACTTCCCCATGTTCTATTGGTCCTACCCACGCCCAGTCTTCCCACGTCACTCACATTCATCTCTCCCCATCCGCCTCTTGCATTTTTTCCCTCTCCTGCCCCGCTCCCTGTGCAATCAGAGCTCCGTCGCTTGGCGGTTCTGCAGAGACGGAGGCAGCGCCTTCGCGAGCAGCAGAGGCGACATGCACTGGTGAAGTACAAGCAGCAGGAGCAGCTGACGCAGAGGCAGCAGGAGCAGCTGACGCAGAGGCAGCGGGAGGAGCACGAGCAACAGAAGCAGCAGAAGCAGCAGCAGCAGCAGCAGCAGCAGCAGCAGAGGCAGGCGTTACCCGTGCCCTACGACAAGCAACACCAGCAGCAGAAGCATGGACATCAGGAACAGAAGAATCATGCACTAACCGTGCCCCACCAGCAGCGTAGTAACCCTGTACCAGGAACTCCCCTACAGCAGCAGGAGAAGCAGCAGCAAGAAGGGGAGCGTTCTGCCTCATTGTGCACGACAGAGGCGATTTTTGAGTCGACAAAAAAATCGCCGCATCGCACGCGTTCTGCCTCATTATGCACGACAGAGTTGACTGACGACCACAGAGCAGACAGGGAGGACGAGAGGAGGCGCGTGGAGGCGATGGGGGGGAGAGTAGAGGAGCGGGGCGGTGTGGCGCGCGTGCAAGGCGAGCTGGCTGTTACTCGCGCCCTTGGGGACCTGCAGTACCGGCCGTGGGTGGTGCCCACGCCTGAGATCACTGAGTGGGTGGTGAGGGGTGGGGCAAGAAGGGGTGGGGCAAGAAGGGGTGGGGCAAGGGGACGTGGTGCAAGGGGGAGCGGCATGGGAGTTTGTAGGGTGGATGGGAAGAGGAGTGGGCGGGTGGTGAAGGAAAGTGATGCAGCAAGGGAGGTGTTGGGAGAGGAGGGAGAAGAGGGGGAGTGGGGTTTGGACTGTGCCCAGGTTATGAATGGGAGTAGAGAGGTGGAAAGACGAGAAGGTCAAGCAGGTCAAGTAGGTCAAGCAGGTCAAGCAGGTCAAGAAACGCAAGCAGGGAAAGCAGGTTTGGAGGGACGCAATGGAAAGGAGTATGTAGTGAATGATACGGAAGGAGGGGAAAGGGAGGAGGTTGAGGAGGGCGAGGAGGAGGAGAAGGAGGAGGAGGACGAGGAGTTCCTGATCGTGGCATCTGATGGTGTCTTTGAGCGAATGAAACCATGCCAGGTGTGCGGCATTGTGGGCAGAGCGAGGCGGGCCCAGAGGAGGAAATTGGGGGGGTTACGGGCAAGCAAAGGAAGAGGTAGCAGAAGGAGGAGCGGGAAAAGCGCTGATAGGGATGGTGATGGTGGTGATGGTGGTGGTGGGGTTGTTCATGGCGTTGATACTGGTGATGGCAATGGCGATGAGGAGGAGGAGAGGGGGGAAGAGAGGGAAGGGGGGGAGGATGAGGAGGATTGGGTGCTTGACAGTGCGGCTGCTGCTGCTGCTGCATCTGGCCGTGAGAGTGAGGTTACAGAAGGGTCGCTGCTCCATGCCATTCCTCTGCCGGTCGGGCAGCAGGAAGGGGACGATCAGGGAGCTCTTGCTGTGGTGAGTGGGGAACGGCAATCAGCAGTGCCTGAGGCGGCACACGAGAATGCACAGGGAGAAATGCAGCTGCAAGGGCACATGGACGCAGCGAGGCAGCAGCAGCAGCAGCAGGTGATGGTCCAGAGGGGGCAGCTGCCGTACTGCTGGATGCTGCAGGGCGTGGAGCAGGGTCCCCTCATGTGTGTGCGCAGGGATGGTGAGGTGGAGACACGGCTGGCACTGGCATGCTGGCCAGAGGGCCAGTGCAGTGCTGAGAGTGGGTGCTCAGCTGAGAGTGGGTGCAAGGGAGGAAGCGAATGCAGGCGTGAAAGCGTGGTAGCTGCGATTGCTGACGAGGGTGCACGGCGTGTAAAGGGAGGACAGGTGATTGCAGTGAGGGAGAAGCAGCTCCAGCCGCTGCAGCAGCCACAGCCAGGGCAGCAGCGGCAGGAGCAGCAGCGGCAGGAGCAGCAGGAGCAGCAGCAGGAAAAAGGACAGGCACAGGGACAGGTTGCGGTGAGAGGCGAGAGTGGGTTGGTGGAGGCGAGGAGGTGGGAAGGGAGGGACCCTGCGAGGGTGTGTTGGGAGGGGAGTGAGGAGAGGCGAGAGGTGGTTGAGCTGGCAGAGAGAATCACACAAGAGGCTATCAAACGAGGCACTCTGGATAATGTTGCTGCTGTCGTACTCAAGCTCTCTCACTCACGCAGACACTCGCATACCCACTCACACTCACCCTCTCGCTGCTCCTGTCGCCATCCCCATTCAAGGACAGGGTCAGATGTCCATTCCCAGCCACCCTCAGACCCAGAATCTCGCACCTGTAGCCGACCCATCCAGACCCATGCCCCACCCACGGCTGTAGCGCTCTCTGCCTCCCATGCTACTGCTGGCGTAGCTACAGCTGGTGCATCAGCCACTCCTGCATCCTCGGTTTCCCAGGACGAGGATTTCCAGAAGCCAGAATCACACAAACGCCTTGCTTCCAGCACCCCTCCAGTGCAACAGCAAACGGTCTCTGAGCAGCAGAGCAGCTGGCCCTTGACTTCCACACCCACTGATACTACACCTCCCTTAGCTCCCTTGGGTTCCGTGCTACCCAGAGACCTTGCTTCGATCTCCCACCGTCTGGACAGTCGAAACCCTCTTCCTGCCTCTCACCGCATGCACGTTTCGAAGCTTGCTCTGCATGCACGGTCCTCCACAGCTCCTGTACTGGTGGGCCCAGTGCAGCAGCAGGAACCCACACTGCCGTCTGAGGTGCCTTCACAGCACGAGAACCACCCAGCAGCATCCCACATCCCCTCCTCCACCGCCCACTGCTACGAGCTGCTCAAACCCCTTCCTGTTGCTGCTGCTACGTCTCGCCCCTCCCTTGTGCCTCTTTGGCATGACCGTGCGGCCTCTGGGCGTAACCGCGCTCGGCGCAATTCTCCCCAGTACCTCGACTCTGGTTCATCAGGACCATTCCCAACACGGCGTTTTAGGGAGGCTCAGCACGGCGCAGCCCTGCCTGCTGCCTCCCCTTCCCATCCCCAGGCTGTAGGAGGCAGCGCCGCAGCGGCTGGGTCTGCTGCTGTTGTTCCTCCAACCCTGAGTCGCTGTAAGAGCAGTAGCCGCAGTAGCAGTCGCAGTGAGGGCGATGTGATCAGCGATGCTGCAAGCAAGATTGGAAAGCAAGAGATAGTGCAAGGTTTTGACCAGCAAGGTTTGGACCAATCAGCTGAACCCAGTCCACCTGGCAGCCAGCTGGCAGCCCTCGGTGAGTGCTCAACTGCCTTGGCTTCGATGGGAGGACAGGCACTTTTCGTATGCTTCGATTTCTTCTCCTCCCATCTTTGCAGGTGGCCTGTCTGTGCCACATCGGATCTTGCCTCTGCGTTTGCGTGTGTGTGTGTTTGTGTGTGTGTGTGTGTGTGTGTGTGTGTGTGTGTGTGTGTACCCACGCGCACGCACCTGCATGCGTGCCTATGTTTCGAATTTACAGATTGATGGTCAAAGTTGACGACTTCGCCTTCTTTCCACTCTTCTCTCCGTTTGCCTGCGAATCTTTGCCTCAGGTGCACGGGCTGTTATTGAGGCATTTCAATGCCTGCTCATCTGGCCTCCATTACAGTCACACTCCTCCTCAACCCCTGCCACCTCTTCCGACAACCATCTCACCGCTCTGCACACTTCAAAATCCCTTCAACCACTGGGACGCCCGCTAGCACATTCACACCAGAAAATCGCAGCTGATGACCAGATCCCATCTCAGAATCAAATCTTAGCCAGAAATCGAATCCTGCATGAGAATCAGATACTACCCCACACTCCTAAGCTAGAGGACATGCCATCCTCCTCTCAAGCTCTTCAGCCCCTCACTCACTCTCCCCCCTCACTTTTCTCCCACTCCCTCACACACACTCCTCTCACACTCCCGTTTGAAGCTACACGCTCCAAACCAACTGCCAAGCCACTTCTGTTCCCAGCCACAAGCCTGGCGATTCCCGCACCTCTTGGCCTGGTTCGGTTCCTGAACCTGCTAGGCTCGGTGCCGCTGCTCCTACCAGGCCTCCCTGGAAAGAGCGGCATGGGAATGGAAAAGGAGAGAGGTGGGAGGGAGGGGTTGGTGGTTGGGGATGGGGTGGAGGATAGGGGGGTGATGGATAAAGGGAGTTCCAAGAAGGTGATAGGGGACAGGGAGGAGATGGAGGAGGGGAGTTTGAGGGAGGAGAGAGGTGTGGAAGGGGACGAATGGGGGGATGTTGATGTGGCAGACAGCAATTGGACGAAGCACCAGATGGGATTTGCTCAGCGCAGGTAAGTCAATGAATGTTGCTGTACGAGAAATGCCTTTCTTTTCTGCTCATAGTTTTCTGCACTCACATCACATTTTGTACTTTCTTATATCCTAGTTTAGTGTAGTTTGTACTTTGTGTTTGGTTGGGTGTACACTTACATTTCAACCAAACCAAATGTGATCTCCAAGCAATCTCCAACCCACCAAGTGGAGATTGCCTTAGGATTACCCCCAATCCCTAGAGATTGCCCCCAATTCCTTCCCCATCATCTCTTGCTCATCCTGGATGTACTTAAAGAGCTTCAAGCTCATTACTAGTGTATGGATTCTAAGCTCAAGTTCTGACACTCGCATGGTTATATAAGATTCTGTCAATCTGTCTCTTTCTTTGAACAGTGTTCCGTCTTGCTGCTTTTCTTGCCTCTTCTTGCCTTTCTTCTTTCTCTCCCAACCTCCATTCTCCCCCGCCCGCCCCTTCTCCCAGGTACGTGCTGCAGAAGAACTTTGCAAGAGGGGGGTTCGGAGAGGTGTGGCTGGGTGTGAGGAGGGACCCCTGCCACCGGCCCTCCAGTGCCCACCGGCCCTCCAGTGCCCGCCGGCCCTCCAGTGCCCGCCGGCCCTCCAGTGCCCGCCGGCCCTCCAGTGCCCGCCGGCCCTCCAGTGCCCGCCGGCCCTCCAGTGCCCGCCGGCCCTCCAGTGCCCGCCTGCCCTCCAGTGCCCGCCTGCCCTCCAGTGCCCGCCTGCCCTCCAGTGCCCGCCTGCCCTCCAGTGCCCGCCTGCCCTCCAGTGCCTGCCTGCCCTCCAGTGCCCGCCTGCCCTCCAGTGCCCGCCGGCCCTCCAGTGCCCGCCTGCCCTCCAGTGCCCGCCTGCCCTCCAGTGCCCGCCTGCCCTCCAGTGCCCGCCTGCCCTCCAGTGCCCGCCTGCCCTCCAGTGCCCGCCTGCCCTCCAGTGCCCGCCTGCCCTCCAGTGCCCGCCTGCCCTCCAGTGCCCGCCTGCCCTCCAGTACCCGCCTGCCCTCCAGTGCCCGCCTGCCCTCCAGTGCCCGCCTGCCCTCCAGTGCCCGCCTGCCCTCCAGTGCCCGCCTGCCCTCCAGTGCCCGCCTGCCCTCCAGTGCCCGCCTGCTCTCCAGTGCCCGCCGGCCCTCCAGTGCCTGGCTGCCTGCACATCCCCCACCCCCACCTCCTTCTGCTGCGAAAGCGGCTGTCAGTTTAGGTGCAGGAAGCAAGTATGGATCAACAGGTCGGGACAGTGTTGCGGTTGAGAGGGCTGCGGGTGGTAGGGGAGAGGAGGAAGGTGAGCTTATGAAGGAACATCTGGGAGTGCGGTATTCAGAGTGGCAAGAACAGGTGGAGGGCGAGAAGGAGGAAGAGAAGGTGAAAGAAGGGCAGGAGGGGAAGGAGAATGGGGAGGAGGTGAAAGAGGAGGGGGAGGAGGAGAAAGAGGAAAGGGAGGAGGAGGAAGGGGAAGGGGAGGTGGGAGAGGAAGAAGAGGAGGAAGAAGAAGAAGTGGAGGAGGAAGGGGAAGGGGAGGTGGCAGAGGAGGAAGAGGAGGAGGAGGAAAAAGAGGCGGATGTCCCGCCACTGTTCGTGCTCAAGCGACTTCTGGTGGGTCAAACTTCAGGTTTCTAGTCTGCTGGGTCAAACTGTTAACATCAGTGGGGGGTTTTCAGTCGAATGAAGGACACCAGTGCCACAGGCGCAGTGCAGCACAGGCGACTGTTGACCGGTTCTGGTGTCCGGGTGATCCTTGAGTCAACCTTCACACTGGGAGCATTGCAGGCCACGGTTATGCTGTTCTCGAATGCAAGGGTCAGGCTCGAGGTGACTTTTGAGGTGACTTGTGAGTCGACTCATCAAATGCGTGTGTGACTTTCGAGAACACGCTCAGCTCATCACTTTTGAGACGTCTCAAAAGTCTTTCGAGAACACGCTCAGCTCATCACTTTTGAGACGTCTCAAAAGTCTTTCGAGAACACGCTCAGCTCATCACACAGACTCCCTTGCAGGCCACTGCTCCTGTTCTCGAATGCCATTCTGGTAAGATACGCCACTTTCCTTTTGAAGCGCCTCAAAAGTCGCCACTTTCTCCATGCCTTACCTGACGAGATGCGGAATTATCTCCATTCACAACATCTTGTTTTGGAGATTTTCACCTGCCCATCACACTCCCGTTCATCCCTTCCCATGCTGAGCACCCCCACCCTCCCCTACTTCCCTTCGTCTTGGATGGCTTCAGTGGGGGAAGGATTGTGTTTAAGGCGCGCTATTCCTACCAACCCCACCTTCCCCCTTTCCTCTTCTTCCTCCTCTCCCTGTCCACTGCACTGTGGGTTTTCGGTTCAGAAAGAAGAGGGTGTTCCCCCTCCACTCCAAAACTCATTCCTCCCCCTCTTCCCTTTCGAGGTGACTTTTGAGTCGACTCAAAAGTAGCGAGGTACTCCTCTAGATGAGGCACCTGTGCTCTTTGGACAACTCAAAAGTCACTTGGTTCAGGCAGAAGAGGGTGCTCCCCCCTCCACCCCAATAATCATTCCTCCCCCTCTTCCCTTTCTGCCCCCTGTCCACTGCACTGTGCGTGTTGGGTGGGTTCAGGCGAGGGAGGGTGCTCGACTGAGTGGGCTGCGAGAGAAGTACTTTGGGGAGATGCTCCTCAACGCGACCAATCTGGTGCTGCCACGTGGCGCCCGTCGTCATCATGGCAAAGGCGACAAGAGGGATGGTGCTATTGGTGGCTCTGAAGTCCTTACGGGCTACGTGGATGGTGATGTGCATGCTGACGTGGATGCTGACGTGGATGCTGACGTGGATGATGACATGGATGATGACGTGGACATCAATGTGATGGATGATGTGGACGATGAGCTGGTCGATGCGATGGGTCTGCATCACATCGCACGCTACGTGGAGTCCTTTGAAACTACGATTGCCAGTGGCAGCGGCGGTGGCGGCGGTAGCAGCGATACCCCCACCACCGGTGGTGATGCTGATGCTGACTTAAGTGCAGGTGTGGGAGGCGATAAAGGGCGGAGAGGGGAGCAGCGGGGGAAGGGGAGGAAGGCTTTTGAGTCGACTCAAAAGGAGGCAAGTAATGAGCAGAGCAAGGATCTGTGGCTGGTGTTTGTGCACGAAGGGGTGTCCCTCTCCTCCCTGCTGTACACGAGTGATGCTGATGATGAGGAGGGAGGCGGGGAGGAGGTGGAGAAACGCGAGGAAGGAGGGATAGCCGAGGAAGGAGGGATAGCCGAGGAAGGAGGGATAGCCGAGGAAGGAGGGAAGGAACGGGAGGGAACAGAACAAGAGAAAGGAGGGAAAGAAGAAGGGGGGAAAGAGAGTGCTCAGCAACAGGCATATGGGGAGCATGCGAGTGGCGAGCAGCAGCAGGCAACAAGTGGGAATCAGCAGGCAAGGGATGGACAGCACAGCATCATGCGGCCTTCGAGGTGGTGGCGGTGGCTGCGCTCCACAGTGGAGGGCGAGGAGACTGTGCGGAGCATCCTCAGGCAGACGGTGAGTAGGGCACTGGTTGGCATGGATGAAAGAAAGGAGGTTCAACAAAAGAGTGGCCTGCACTGGACAAGTCAGCAGCAGGTAAAGAGTGGGCAGCACAGCATCGTGCGGCCTTCGAGATGGTGGCGATGGCTGCACTCCACAGCGGGGGGCGAGGAGACTGTCAGGAGCATTCTCAGGCGGACGGTGACAACAAAAATGAGCCAGACGGTGGAAGGGGTAGCCCATGTTGTCATCCCTATTTCCCGAAAAAGAGAATGCCGAAGATGGTGCCACGTGCATTCACTCCTTCCCCTTCTCCTCTCCTCATTCGCCTCTTGAACTTCTTTTCCTCTTCCTTTCCTCCGCCCTGTGCTCTTGCTCTGCGTCCTCTCTGCCACTCGCCCCTACTCTCTTTTTTTTCAGCTGCTGGGGCTTGCTGCTTTGCAATGCAAGTGTGCAAGTAACGTTTGAATCCAATCAATACTCACCCGGTTGCCTCTCCCCCTGGCCCCTGTTATCTGCACTACAGCTGCTGGGGCTCGCCGCGTTGCAAGCGCGCAACATAACCCACAGGGACATCAAGCCAGGTGCAGTGCACTGCTGCTTCCCAGGAAGCTTCATTCTCTGACCAATGTGCCAACGTGCCAACATATGCTTTGCCGTGTTGGCTAGTGTCCAATGTTCCAAACAACCAGTCAAGCAATCAATCTTGAACTCTCGATAACCAGCTAGTCGCAACATATCCCGCAGGGATATCCACTCAGGTACACGGCTGTTCCCAAGAAGGTAAACAAGAGGGCAACAGCAGACTTGTATTCAGGAGGCATACGTTCTTATACCTGAAGCAACAACAATCTATGGTGGCTGCCTCTTAAGTTCAAACGTTCATCGCCATGCCTTCCAAAAACTAGAGCCTATACCGTTTTCCAGCAAGGGCAAATCAGTGCTACTTGGCACGCCGCTCATCTCCATCCACCATGTTTTTGTGTCCACCAACAGAGAACATCATTCTGAAGCCTCAGCCCAGGAGGACGAGCAGGGGGTCAGAGTTTGAACGCCCTCAAGAAGCCAAGGGGAGGGATGCAGGGAGACGAGCAGAAAGACATGCATCGCATGCTCCCGTGCCTGCCTCCTCCTCCCCACCGTTAGCAGCAGCAGCAGGAGCAGTGCCAGCAGCCGAGGAAGCAACAGCAGAAGCAGAAGCAACAGGCTCTTCGTCGACAGCAAGTAGCAATACTTCCGTGGAAAACCCGCTCCCGGATTTCAATGCTGACACGCACGTGTGAGTGGAGTGGGTGGGTGTGTGTGATACGAGCAACCATAAATTCTGGATAAATCTTTGCACCCTTAACTCTGAACGCCTGTCAAGCAATATGCTGAGCACATAGACAAGAGCACAATGGGATAACAAGCCTGTTCTGAGACGTCTCTAAACAAGCCACTATTTCGTCAAGCTATAAGGTGAGCATGCAGACTACAGCTCTATACAGTATCTCGCTCCTGTCCTCTCGTCTCATCCTTTCCCTATCCCGCCTTTTCCTCTTTTCCCCTTCTCTATCCTGTCCTCTCTCGAAGAAAGCCCCAACAACTATCTCATTGACCCGGTCTCAGCCGTTGCTGGCGATGTTTCTATCATACCTCTTCTCCCTCCCTTCCTCACATTCTCCATTCCCGTCCATCCCATCCCAACAGCCGTGTGCTTGACCTTGGTTCAGCTGTTGACCCGCACTCTGTTCGCTTCCTCTACGGCCCAACAGGGCCCTCCAGGTAACGCCCCGCCCTCCAGGTTCACCTGTCTAGGTAACACCTCCTCTCAGCCCTTGTCTATATCAGCCACCTGTGTATATTAGGTAATTCTAGAATGTTTTGGGATGTCTCAAAACCCAGTGTTCTGAAGCGCCCTTAGAAATTATTATGCAGGACAACACTTCAATCTTCACACGCAATGCCACTTCAGGTAACACCTGTCCAGATAACGCATGTACAGCTAACACCTAGCCATGCTACTCAGCCCACATCTTGAGATGGCTTAAAACTCGGGAAATTAATAAATGAATAAATAAATAAATAAATTAAATATATTAAAAAAAATACTTGATTGATATTGCACCTGAGAAAAGTTCCAGAAAAAAATGTTAAGGCAACCCATTTTCTGGTTGCCTCACATCTTGTGCATTTTTCTCCCGTTCCGCTCCTCCCTCTCTCTTTTTGCAGCTATATTCACTTGCTGCTGTTACAGAGCTGAGTTTTGAGACATCCTGACAAACTTTGTTCCTCTTTGTCGCTTTCCCCCCCTCTCAGCACAGAGGAAACAGAGCTTTACTTGCCTCCAAAAGTGCTGCTACTGCTACAGAGCCGAGTGAGTTTTGAGGCATCCCAAAAAATCAACCGCTTCTCTTTTCCCCCTCTCAGTGCAGAGGAAACAGAACTCTACTCGCCTCCAGAGGTTCTGCTGCTGCCACAGAGCCTCCCAAGTGCCGGAGGTACGGAGGAAGCTGCGGGTGCATCTGGAGAAGCAGGGACAGCAGCAGGGGGAGGTGCGACAGGGGGATGCGCATCTGGGGGAGGTGTTGACTGCACGAGGAACAGCTCCAGTAGTAGCTGCTTCCACGTCAGCAGCAGGATGCACTACGGGTATGTGTTAACGCTCAGAGCGTATGCCTGAAAGTTTCTTCCCCCAAGCACTCTGCCCCATGCTCTGGCTCTCGTCCCCCCCCCCCACCCCCCCACTTTCTCAATCACAACTGACCGTGGTCCTGTGGCAGCACTGACTGTACGGCAGCTTTTGAGGTGCCTCAAAAGTCGCCTCAAAAGACCGTGGTGCTGTCGCACCAATGGCTGTACTGCTGCTTCCCAATTCACGCCGCTACGACTTGTGGAGCGATTTTTAAGGCACCCCAAAAATCACCTCAGTACTGCAGCCTCCCGAGTCACGCTGCTACAAATTGTGAAGTGTGGGAGTGGAGCTCCTCTCTAGCATGATAATTTGTTACTCCTTTTATTCACCCCTCCCTCCCTCCCTCCTCCCCACCCACACAGCTACGACATGTGGAGTGTGGGAGTGCTGATGCTAGAGCTCCTTTTTGGTTCACCACACGTCTGGTCTCTCCCCCCTCGCACTCAGGTATTTCCATACATACCTCACATGCCCTCGCCTCTCCCCCTTTGCACTCAGATCAGCCCCTCCGTCCACTCTCCTGAGCCCTTCCCCTCCCCCTTGGAACTCAGGTGACTTTTTTAGGTGCCTCAAAAGCCCTCTCCACTCCGCCCACACTCGGTTCGGTGCTCCCCTTAAGACGCATCCTTAACCAACCCATGCACCCATGCGCCCACGCGCGTGCACGCGCGCGCGCGCGCACACACACACACACCCATGCCCACCCATGCCCACCCATGCACTCACGCTCATACACACCCACCCGCCCCTAACCTACCCCCTCTCCTCCTCCGCGAATGGTCCTTTCATGAATCTAATCTATGTAACGGTAAAACCAGGGCCAAACACGGCAAGGTGAGTTGCTACAAATGCCACCTCTTCGCCTCTCCCCGTCTCTCCCTGTGTGCCTCTCCCCATCCTCGCCGTTCCCCTCTACCTCCCCCAGGCGCTGCTAGATCGCTCCTTGCAAGCAGCCCGGTGGCCCGAGTCTACCCGGCGAACAGCCTTCTTGTGAGAAACCCAATTCACATTCCTCTCGCATGCCCCGATTCTCCTGCAAACTGCTTCACTCACGCCTGATTTCCTCCTCGTGTTCAGAAATGCCTCGTTCCTACCCTCAGTTCCTTGTGTCTCCCTCCACTCCCCTCATCCACCCGTCTTCATGCGCGCGCTTGGATTCGCAGCATGTGCGCATGGATGGAACCACTTTTGAGGCGCCTCAAAAGTCGCGCTTGGATTCGCAACATGCGCTGCGCACATGGACGGAACCCTTCGTCTTCATGCCTGAGATTGCCTCACCTCACCGTGCTCAATGCCAGGGACCATAAGGCACCTTCTTTTTCTCACTCCCCTCACCCGTCCTCCCCAGCATGCGCGCATGGATGGAACCCTCCGTCTCCATGCCTGAGATAACCTCACCATGCTCAATGCCAAGGACATTAAGGCACCTTTTTCTTCTCACTCCCCTGACGGCCCCCTCCTCAGCTTGCGCGCATGGATGGAACTCTGCATCTTTACGCCTGCAGTCTTTGAAGCGGCACCAAATGAGGGGGCGTCTGTAGCAGCGGAGGAGGAGGAGACGTCTGTAGCAGGGCAAGAAGAGGAGGAGCTGTTGGTAGCAGAGGAAAACGATGGGCTGTCTTTAGCACAGAAGAAGGAAGGAACGCCTGCAGCAGGAGAAGAGGAGGGGGAAGTGAGGAGGGAGGAGGGTGTGGAGGGTGGAGCAGGCGCGAAGACCAGAGGTGTGAGCGACTTGCTGAGGCTGCGTCAACCGCATGTGGAGCATGCTCATCCCCAGGGATCGGCTGTAGTGGGTGCTGATTCACAGGAGGAATATGCTACAGCAGGTGCACTTCCGCAGGAAAGTGCAGTGGGGGTGGCAGAGGCCCCCACTGCGTCTGCCTCTGCTGCCACTTTTCATGTCCCTTGTTCTACTAGAAGAGTTGCAGCATCCAGCACAGCAGGCCAGAGGGGTCGCACTGCGGACAGCGGCAGGGGCGAAGAGAGAGAAGCAGGAGAAGGCCACAGGGGGGTTGGGGAGGCCGATGAACATGGAGAGAACAATGTGGGTGGGCAGGGCAGTGACTCCGTGCATGGAAGTGGGGCTTCTTGTGGGGAGGCTGGTGGCAGCAGCAGTCCCAGTGGTCATGGCAGCAGTGGGAGTGGTGCAGAGGGGTGGAGTGTGGTGGCGCCGTGGGAGTGCAGCGAGGCCAGCATTGCAGCACAGCTGAAGCTGAGGGACCCGCTCAAGAAAGGGTAAGAGCATACGAGATCTATAAATCTATGTTAGTAAGGATTAGGTGACCTTTGAGTCGGCTCAGAAGTCATTGCTGCACAGCTGAAGCAGAGGGACCCGCTCAAGAAAGGGTAAGAGCACTTGAGATCCCTTGATGTTCACTTTTTAGTTTTTTTTTTTCAAAAGTGTTAGACCGCGAGAAAATTCTCGCTGTATGTAATAAGGGTTTTTGGTTACCAGCGAGGTGATTTTTTTTAGGCACCTCAAAGGTTTCTGCTGCACAGCTGAAGCTGAGAAACCCGGTCAAGAAAGGGTGAGATTGCACGAGACCTTTCAATTGGTCTACAAGCCAATCCAGCTACCAACATGTGGCTAGTAGAGTCAGTTTTTGACTCACTTCTCTATCGACTGCCTGGATGAAATATTTTGGCATGTCCCTTTATTATTACTCCTTGTCTTCCCACCGTTCACTTGTTCCCTTCATTCCATGGCCTTACCCCATGTGATGTGCCATCTCCTGAACCACTTTCCTGTGCCCTCCACTCCATTCCACCACACGTTCCTTCCTCAGTCTTCCCAGCATTTGGGCCCTTCGACTGCTGCGGCGATTGCTGCAATGGTACCCCGTAAGTATAGCTGTTTTCTACCCTTTTGACTTTAGTTTTTTTGCGGAATGTTGTCGCATATTTTCTCTCGCTCTTGCATGGTTGTCATCGTGGTCGTTGTTTGTTATCAGTTTGGATTATGGTTACATATGCTCCTTTGCATCATATTTTCTAATCAGGGGGGCCGAATCACCGCGCGAGAGGCTCTGCAGCATGCCTACTTTCGACCAGAAGCACCTCGTACGTAACATTAGCACCAGGTTGATGTTAACATCAACTTCACAATCTAATGTGTTAATACAAGTTTATTTGTTACTTTCTGTTTCCCTACTTTTCATCATTTTTTGGCAGGAGGATTCAAGTGTCCAACATGTGGGCAAGAGTTCGAGTTTCGCTCAGATTGTGTACAGCATCATCTCTTGCACCGTTCACAAACAAAACATAATGATGTGTGCGTGTAATTCTTATTTAGCTCATGTATAAGCACGCTCTATTATCCTTTCCGAACCGCATCAAACCACTCACACAAGTGGTTTGGCGAGCTGCTGCCACAAATTTGTTTCCGAGGATTTCGAGGCACGATCACAAGTCTTGGTTGATTTCGCAATGCTGAACCGCGGTTTGGGGTAGTGAGTAGCGAGAATCGACGGAATAGTTCTCCGGCTGCCCCGTCCCGTCCATTTCGCCCCCGATGAATTTCCGCCAGCCAGGGCGCACTTGCCGCGCCCAGCTCGGACCAAACGTTGGAGCCCTGCGCGCGCGCCCCCGCTTTTGCTGGTTCTTTCTTCCCCATCCGAGGTGGGGAACTCGAGCAGCGGAGCGGAGGTACGGGAAACCGACACGGGCGAATTCCCTTGCCCAAACCTCTCCCGAATTTCCAGAACTCCTGGAATTTGTTTCCCCAAACCGACCCGACGCGACCCGAACCGTTCAACTCTCCACGAGTAATATTCGTCCCCACGATAGACTCTAGAGACCTATTTTAGGCCGACAAGTGGACTTCAGTCAACACACTCAGTTCTAACACTCTGCCTCATTCAGTGGCCCTCTCAGCCTGCTAGTTTCAGCCCTCGCTGATTCTAAGCTTTTAGTCATTCCAGTTTGCTTTTTGGTTCCGCGATTCAGCCTTTCAGCTTAACGTGACCGCCGACGTCTGTCGGTCAGTTTTTTGTTAGTTTCCTCCTACGCTGAAAATAGGTGTCTCGCAGTCTTCCCTCGACAGTGTGTGCGCCGCGTCTCTGAGCGGCACGACGAGCGTCGTCGTCGATTCGCGATTCGCTGAGGCGTTTGCAGCGTTCGCCGCTTCCGAGTCGCACTTCTACCGCGATTCCTGCGGCTCCTCCAGGCAAATCGACGGCCGGTCCCTCTTGGTAAGTCTAATCGCTAATCCCATTGCAACCTTTTGTCGCTTGTCCGCGCAAGCTTCTTCCCCCCTTGTCGTACTTTCCACACTTTCACTCGCTCACCATTCCCTTTTCCGCGCTCTATTCCCAATATCTTGCGTGTCTTGCGCCAACAGTGTGAGCAGTTGGACGCGACCGACCACGTGCGCCGCTCCTCCGCCGCCGCCGCTTCCGCCTCTAGCGCGACAGCGGGCGAGCGTAGGGACAGTGCGATCCGCGTGCTAGCGGAGTCCATTCTCGTCGGCTGCCCCGCGCGCCACTCCTTCGCCTTCTCCTCCGCAGGAGCGGACACCGCAGCTGGTGCCGGCGGTGCTGACGGCGCGTATGGAAACAACCATGGCGGCGCGCGTCGCTCGTCCATGTCGTCGTTCTCCTTCCGCCCGCGCGGGTCTTCTTCCTCCTCCTCCTCCGCGTCAGGGGGGCGCGGCTCCTCCTCCTCTGCCTCAGGGGGACGAATCTCCGCGTCTTCCGCGCGTTCCCGCAGCTCCTCCGCGTCGTCGTTCGCCTTCCCCGCGCTCGCCTCTCTCCCCGCATCATCGCGACCCTCGGACAGCTCGCTGTTCACTATCGCGGAAGCTCTTACCGAGTCACAGCCGGCCTCTCAGACGACGGTGCCTTCCTCTTCTGACGGTCAGGTTTCTGACAGTGAGGTCGCCGGCAGTCTTGGAGAAACGGCCGGGTGCGGTGATGCGGCGGCGAAGGCGGCGGTGGACGGCAGTTTGCCGCCCGACCTGAGCGGGTTGAGCAACGGGGAGCTGCTATTGATCGCGGCGAGCCGCATCGCGTTGCTCACCGAGTCGCTGAGCGAGTCGCGCACGATCAACGAGGAGCTGATGAAGGAGAAGGACGCGGCGCTGTCGCTCCTGATGGACACGCAGCGCAAGCTGACGGAGGCGACGACGCGCGCCGTGCTGTCGATGCCACGTGTCAACAGCTCGTGCGATCTCGCCGGGCTCGCCGTTGGCGGAGGTTTTGGTGGGCACGTCAGCTCGCCGCCGTCGTCGCCTGCTGCCAAGTCGACGGTTGCCACGTCAGCGACAGCAGGGTCAACGGGGCTGACGGGGCAGAAGGGGAAGGTCTACCTGGACGATGACGACGACATGGACTACGACGAATCGGACGACGAATGCGACGTCGCTCGCAGGCCCGTCGCGCCTGTCGCACTGGACGCACGTGTTGCGCCAGTCGCACCTGTCGCAGCAGTAGCTCAGTCGGCGGAGAGCGAGGAAGCGGAGTATGCGCACTTCCTTGAGCGGAAGGTCGCGGAGCTGCAGGCTGCGCTGTCGCAGGCGGAAGGTGCGCTGGAGTCCGCGCGCGCGGAACGTGAAGCCTTGGCGGAAGGTCAGGAGCGCGCGGTTTCCGCCGCAATCGCGGACGCCGCGGCTTCCGCGGAGCGCGCGCGAGCGCGGGAGGTCGAGCTGATGGTGGCGCTGCGGGCGGCGGAGGGGGAACTCGCGGCCGAGCGCAGGCGCCACGTGGTGGAGGTCGAATCGCTGAAGGAAGAACTAGCCACGGCGCGTCGGGAGAAGGAGGGGTATTTAACGAGTATGGAAGAAATGGCGCGGGTGCTGGATGTGCAGCGGGAGGAGCGGGATGTGATAATAACGAGGTTAGAAGCGGAGAAGGCGGAAATGGTGGGTGAGCTGATGGATGTGATTGTAGAGGCCGTGGCTGCAGCGGGCGTTGCGAGTGTAGCTGGTAACTTGGTTACTGCAGCTGCGATGGAGGACTGGAAGGATAGCGCTCCTGTGATGGCTGTCCGTCGCGCTGAGCTGTTGGTTGTAGATTCTGCTGAGCTGGAACCGGTTCTCGCTGACGTGGAAACTGCAAAAGAGGCGTTTGCTGACGTGGCAGCTTCTGCTGGCGTGGCGGGGATGGGTGACGTGGCGGATAAGGAAATTGTGGCAGCTGAGATGGCCCTGGGGGAGAAATTTGGAGAATCCAGGCAAGAGGCTGTTGTTGGGGCAGGTGAAACCCTAATTTCAATTTCTGCTGCTCCTGATGCTGCTGCTACTGCTGTTACCACTGCTGTTCCCGCTGATGTTACCACTGCGGTTACCACTGTTCCGGCTGGAGCTAGGTTAAGCAGCAGCAGGCGCTACAGCACAGCTGCTGCAGCCGGCAGGGGCAGGAGCAGGGAGGGGGACAGCGGTGGCAGGGGGAGCAGCAGTGGTAGGGGAAGCAGCAGTGGGAGTGACTGTATCGCTGGCAGCAGGGGCGGGCGTGTGAGCGAGGGAGGATGGGGGAAAGCTAGCTACTTAAAAGTGGGGGACAGCATTCCGAAGGGAAAGGTGCGGGTTGTGAGGGACAGGGACCTGCCTACTCGCAGGCACACTGTGCTCTCGTGCACTCTCCCCTCCTCTCCCCTGCCCTGCTCTTTCCCTCCCTTGCGCCCTCACCCATCCCACTGCCGCGCCTCCCTGCCATCCCTGCTGCCTATTGGTCACGAGCTGGTGGAAGGGCGAGGAGGGGAGGAGAGGGGAGCGCGAGGGAGTGAGGAGAGGGGAAGGCGAGGGGTTGAGGGACAGGGAATATGGAGGGAGGGGATGAGAATGGGGCAGGGCGGGGAGGAGGGAGAGGGGGAGCAGGAGGGGTATGCATGGCAAGCGTTTCGGGCTCTTATTGATGGTGGTGCTATGCCGGGTGACTATACCGAGGTTGCAGGGGTGGAGACGAGCAGTGGCAATACAGGCACTGCAGGGGACTTTATCAGAGGTGATATTACCAGAGGTGATTCTATCGAGGGGGACACCAGTGAGGTGGATGTGATGCAGAGAAGACGAAGGATGTCGGCCGGAAGGAGGCGGTGGTGGGACCGGGGGGTGATGGAGCGAGTGAGGGCGTGGGAGTGGCGTGGGGGCAGGCAGAGGGGAGGAGGGCGGGAGGATGGGAGAGCAGAGGAGGGAGCAGTGGAGGAGAGGCAGGTGGAGCAGGAGGAGGAGGAGCAGAGGCAAATGCAGGAGAGGGAGTGGGATACGGCGGAAGGGCGTGGAGAGAGGGAGCAGGGAATGTGGGAGGTGGGCGAGCCTGCTGCGAGGGGGAATTACAGAAGGGGTGCAGATGTGGGAGGAGCAAGTGGTTTTATTGGGGATGAGGCATGGAGTGAGCATGCGATTGGGGGGGGAGTGGTGGAGGGGGAGGAAGTGAGGGAGAGGGGGAGAGTGATGAGGATACTTGATGATGATAAGGAGAACGTGGAACCTGCTATGGGATTGGACATCTAGTGTAGTGTAGGGTATATTAGGCTAGATGCTTGCCATGTACATAACTAAGTATTTAATTTAGTATTTTTACAGCTGAGCTGTAACGGTTGTGATACTGATTTGCTGTCAGTTGAAGCAGCTTGCAATAGAGCATTGCCTGGAAGAGTGACCTCCGAAGAAGTACATGTTACCCATACATGTGTAAGATTACAAACCAGCAATGCCAAATAGGAATGGCTAATGGCTTGCTATTTGTAACTAAAGCGGTATTCCAATACAAGCCTGCTTTGTCCTCACAATAGCACTGCTTATAGCGGAGCTTATGTGTCAGCCCGTATGGAATGGACTGCTTATGATGTGGCTACACTCGAGTTTGATGCTTGGTTTCCTTGACTGGTGGAGGTTGCTGCGTTGCTTCCTTGCCTCTTGTCAAGCACTGAGGGAATTACAAACACTGCCAGCAGGGCTGGTGTGGGGGAAGGGGGCATGGGAAGCATATGGGCATGAGGGAGGTTGGCACATGAGGAAAGAGGAGAGAATGGGTGAAAGGCGAAGGAAGAGGGGCGATAAGGGAGGAGGGAGGGGTGGGCAGGCGAGAGTGAAGGGAGTCTTGGCAAGGGGTGGGGGCTTGTGAGAAGAGGGGGGAGTGGGGGGAGGGTGAGGGATTGGCGTACAGATGGGGGAGAGAGACACAGTACAGGATGTAAGAGTGCACGTCTGTGAGTGTGAGTGTGTGCGCGCGCGCACTTGTGTGTGTGTGTGTGTGAGTGTGTGTGTGTGTGAGAGTGAGTGTGTATATGTGCGTGTGTGTGTTGTGTGTGTGAGTGCATGCCTTTTCTTGTGTGCACTGCACACATGAGCGCGTATCCATGTAAGTGAGAGAGTGGGTGAGTGCAAAGGCATACCCAGGAAGGAAAGCGAGTAATCAGTGATGAAAGAGGAGAGGAGTTGAAGCGCAGTCAGCACCACCAACACCTGGAAGAATAGCAAGACAGCACGGCACATGCAGACACACAAACTAATTCATGAACACGAGCAAGCAATGGACGAATGAACCGTAAAATCAGCCAAGACATCAGACAACTCGGAAATCAGCCAAGACATCAGACAACTGGGAAATCAGCCAAGACATCAGACAACTCGGAAATCAGCCAAGACATCAGACAACTCACCCCCCCACATCCTCCCTTTCCTCATTTCCTCCATCCCTCTTCCCCTTCCCTCCCAATCAGCCTCCCAGCCCCACCCACCTTGCCGGCAGCAGTCCAGTCCCTCTCCACTAGCAGCTTCTCCTGCAGAGACACACACGAGCCTCCTCCATCGCCCCCCTGTGCTTCACCCTCCATCGCCCACCTAACCAACCCCCCAGCGTTACCCCTCTACCCCACCGCCACCCACCTTGCCGGCAGTAATCCAGTCCCTCTCCACTAGCAGCTTCTCCTGCAGAGCGGCCACAGAGCCATTCCACGTGGCAGCCACCCATTGGCTCGCCTCCACCACTGGCTTCTCCGGAATGCGCCACTCAACAGCCGCCATGTCAGGTAGAGGCAGGCGGAACCTGTGGTTGAAACGAGGAGAGCAGAGGAATAAAAAGGAGGGGGAGGGATGGAGATGAGAGGAGGGAAGGGAGGGGTAGAAGGGAAGGGGATCTGGTTGAAGAGTGGCAGCAAGGAGAAGGTGTTGCTGGCATACATTGGAATTTAAGCATGTTAAGCAATGCAAGCAGCGCTGGTAGCAGCACTGTCAGCAGCACTGTCAGCAGCATTGTCAGCAGCACTGTCAGCAGCACTGTCAGCAGCATTGTCAGCAGCACTGTCAGCAGCACTGTCAGCAGCACTGTCAGCAGCACTGTCAGCAGCACTGTCAGCAGCACTGTCCTATCCCTCGGTCTCACCTTCTTGTCACTGCCAGCAGCACTTTTGAGTCGACTCAAAAGTCTCACCTTCTTGTCACTGCCAGCAGCACTTTTGAGTCGACTCAAAAGTCTCACCTTCTTGTCACTGCCAGCAGCACTTTTGAGTCGACTCAAAAGTCTCACCTTCTTGTCACTGCCAGCAGCACTTTTGAGTCGACTCAAAAGTCTCACCTTCTTGTCACTGCCAGCAGCACTTTTGAGTCGACTCAAAAGTCTCACCTTCTTGTCACTGCCAGCAGCACTTTTGAGTCGACTCAAAAGTCTCACCTTCTTGTCACTGCCAGCAGCACTTTTGAGTCGACTCAAAAGTCTCACCTTCTTGTCACTGCCAGCAGCACTTTTGAGTCGACTCAAAAGTCTCACCTTCTTGTCACTGCCAGCAGCACCAACCTGCTCCTATCCCACTGTCCCACCTCTTGGCGATGGGAGTCACGCGATGCAGCACGGCAGCATGCAGGAGGAACCCCATGACAGCAGTGGCAGCAAGTGAAACAATGGGAGTCCCGCCAACCCGCCCAAGAGCCCAGCGCAGCAGCATCCACGCGAGCAGCATGGCCAGGAGAGACAGTTTCACGTCCTGCCACAGCAGCAGGTCCGCCACTAGGCCTCCTCCCAGTGCACAAGAGACGTGACCACTCTCACCTCCCATCCTTGCAACTGTCTCACCTCTTTGCAATGGGAGCAATGCGGTGCAGCACGGCAGCATGCAGGAGGAACCCCATGACAGCTGTCGCAACCAGCGACAGGACAGGCGTGCCCCCCACCCTCCCAAGAGCCCAGCGCAGCACCATCCACGCGAGCAGCATGGCCAGGAGAGACAGTTTCACGTCCTGCCACAGCAGCAGGTCCGCCACTAGGCCTCCTCCCAGTGCTTTGTGCACGGAGGAGCGCTCTCGGAACGCTGCTCGTGCTGCTGCTGCCTCGGCTGCCTTTTCCTTCTCGTAGGAGGTGCGTTGCAGGTGCGGGTACGATGCTATTGTGCGCTGCAGGCCTTCCTGTATTGGGAAATGGGGCAGGGGCAACAGCATGTGGGGAAATGGGGCGGGGGCAACAGCATGTGGGGAAATGGGGCGGGGGCAAGAGCATGTGGGGAAATGGGGCAGGGGGAAGAGCAAGTGCGGAAATGGGGCAGGGGGAAGAGCAAGTGGGGAAATGGGGCAGGGGGAAGAGCAAGTGGGGAAATGGGGCAGGGGGAAGAGCATGTGGGGAAATGGGGCAGGGGGAAGAGCAAGTGGGGAAATGGGGCAGGGGGAAGAGCAAGTGGGGAAATGGGGCAGGGGGAAGAGCACGTGGGGAAATGGGGCAGGGGGAAGAGCATGTGGGGAAATGGGGCAGGGGGAAGAGCATGTGGGGAAATGGGGCAGGGGGAAGAGCAAGTGGGGAAATGGGCCAGGGGGACGAGCATGTGGAGTTTAAAGGGGGCAGGGTTTGCAACTTTGGCATACCCTAAACCGCTAAACCTGCAAAACCCTAACCTCTGACCACTCACATCAACTGAAACGATTGGCTTGTAGCCAATCAGCCTGCCCGCCCGGGCAGGTGAAAAGGTTCTCCAGCGGGTGGCAAGGAGCAGACGGGCAGGAGTGAAATCAGAGGGCGGCACACCCAGAGGGGCCAGGGCCTTTGTAACGGCCTCCACTCCCCCTGCCAGTGGAATGAGGATGTCTGCTGGGAGCTTGGCTATGGGCCTGGGAGGGGGTGAGGTGAGGAGGGTGGGAGAAAGCGGATAGGAGAGTTTTGAGTTTGAGATGGGTCTTGGAAGCAGAATTTACTCCCCCAAATAGCTATGTTGATCGAACTTTTGAGAATTCTCAAAAGTTCGAGATGGGCCTTGGAAGCAGAATTTACTCCCGCAAGCCAACTAGAGGATGAGGATGGCCGCTGGGAGCTTGTTGCTTCTGTAACTAGAATCTGCATAGCCGGTGCTGTCAAGAGAGGACAGGTGGGCTGCGAAGCAAACAGCTACCGAAGTTCCCATTGCCGTTCCCTGTATCTGCCGATTCTAGTCACGTTCCCTGTATCTGCCGATTCTAGTCACATTCCCTGTATCTGCCGATTCTAGTCACGTTCCCTGTATCTGCCGATTCTAGTCACGTTCCCTGTAACTAGAATCTGCATAGCCGGTATGGGGCCATTACTAAGAGACCGATTATATGGGCGCTGGGCACTGGGCACTGGGCACTGGGCGCTGGGCACTCACTTGCTGCTGTAGCCAAAGCCCCCCGCAATGGCAAAAATGAAGTCCCAGAATCGCCTGGGATCAGCGTTGGTGATGAAATACGCCTGCAATGAGTTCAAGAAAGGTTGAAAGCGGTGGAGATGGGTTGAAAGCAGTTGAAGGAAAGAGTGAGAGGTTAGCTAGCGGCACTTGGGAAATGGTGGGCATACGGGGGCGGGAGGGGTGAGAGCTGGGGAAGTGGTAGGGAGAAAAGGGGGGTATGAAGGTTGGGAAAGCGGTAGAGAGGGAAATTGCACTGGAAGGACAAGGCTTGGAAATTAGGGATGCAACTGAACGTGTTTTTTGAGAATTCTCAAAAAACAGGCTTGGAAATTAGGGATGCAACTGAGCGTGGAAATTGCACTGGAAGGACAAGGCTTGGAAATTAGGGATGCAACTGAAAATCGAGTTTTGAGTCGACTCAAAAGTCAATTAGGGATGCAACTGAAAATCGAGTTTTGAGTCGACTCAAAAGTCAATTAGGGATGCAACTGAAAATCGAGACTGGGGACAAGTAGTGGGAGGGGAAGTGGGTTGACTTTTGAGTCGACTCAGAAATTAGGGATGCAACTGAAAATCGAGTTTTGAGTCGACTCAAAAGTCAATTAGGGATGCAACTGAAAATCGAGTTTTGAGTCGACTCAAAAGTCAATTAGGGATGCAACTGAAAATCGAGACTGGGGACAAGTAGTGGGAGGGGAAGTGGGTTGACTTTTGAGTCGACTCAGAAATTAGGGATGCAACTGAAAATCGAGTTTTGAGTCGACTCAAAAGTCAATTAGGGATGCAACTGAAAATCGAGTTTTGAGTCGACTCAAAAGTCAATTAGGGATGCAACTGAAAATCGAGTTTTGAGTCGACTCAAAAGTCAATTAGGGATGCAACTGAAAATCGAGTTTTGAGTCGACTCAAAAGTCAATTAGGGATGCAACTGAAAAACGAGTTTTGAGTCGACTCAAAAGTCAATTAGGGATGCAACTGAAAATCGAGACTGGGGACAAGTAGTGGGAGGGGAAGTGGGTTGACTTTTGAGTCGACTCAGAAATTAGGGATGCAACTGAAAATCGAGTTTTGAGTCGACTCAAAAGTCAATTAGGGATGCAACTGAAAATCGAGTTTTGAGTCGACTCAAAAGTCAATTAGGGATGCAACTGAAAATCGAGTTTTGAGTCGACTCAAAAGTCAATTAGGGATGCAACTGAAAATCGAGTTTTGAGTCGACTCAAAAGGCAATTAGGGATGCAACTGAAAATCGAGTTTTGAGTCGACTCAAAAGTCAATAAGGGATGCAACTGAAAATCGAGACTGGGGACAAGTAGTGGGAGGGGAAGTGGGGCGAGCGGGAAGGTGGGACGGGACTGGGGACAAGTAGTGGGAGGGGAAGTGGGGCGAGCGGGAAGGTGGGACGGGACTGGGGACAAGTAGTGGGAGGGGAAGGTGGGACGGGACTGGGATGGGTAACGGGATGGGAAATAGATGGGGAATGGGATGGGGAAAGCGATGGGGAAAGCGATGGGGAGTGGGATGGGGTAAGGGATGGGGAGTGGTACGGGGAAAGGGATGGGGAGTGGGATGGTTAAAGGGATGAGGAGGAGAATGGGGAAAGGAATGGAGAAAGGGATGGAGAAAGGGAGAGAAAATGGGACCATACCTTGCCAGCTGGCGAGTCGTGACTGGTGGGGTCGCCCTTGTACTCGCTAAGAGCCTTCTCAGCACAGATATGCGCGTGCACCACGTTCTCAACGTACGTCCAATCCGACATGTTCTCCCCATCGCCTACTATGAACTGCAGAAGAGGTAGGAGTGAGGTGGGGAGGGGGGAAGGGAGGGAGAGAGGAAGTGTACGGTTAAAAAAGGGGAGATGGAGTGGCTTGTGAGGGGCATGGAAGGGAAACAGCACAGATATGGGCGTGCACCACGGTTCTACACGTATGTCCAATCTGCCATGATCTCCCCATCACCTACTAACTATGAACTGCAGTGGAAGGAAGAAATAATGTGGGTGGTTGTAGAGGCGCAGGGCGCCCGTCAGCAGCCCTACCTCCCTCCTCTCCCACAAACCCACATCTCCCCTTCCACAGAAGCACATTCCAACAAGGTGAGAATCGACTCAAAAGTCACCACATCGGCAGCCCTCCCTCCTCTCCCACAAGCCCACATCTCACCTTCCAGAGAAGCACATTCCCCTCTTCCCATCCACACACGCACCTTGAGTTTGCCCCTCTGAGCGTTCTTAATGGTGATGGGAACAAGATCAGGGTCCCCAGGGCCGAAGATGTTGCTGGGGCGCAGGGCGCACGTCAGCAGCCCTCCTTGGGCGTTTGCGGCTATGGCTATGGCCTCTGCCTGCGCCTTGGTCTCGCCATACGCGTTAGTAGCCTGAAGATATGTTTAGAAACGGGGACAGGTGAAGCGTGGAAGGGTGAGAAGAGCTCAAAGCGAAGAAAAAATCCCTTTCTTGCACAAGATTGAAAGGCAACGCACATGAGACGTTTCAACCACTGACTGCCAGGGGGGCTACTGACATGCCATGGAGGGAGGGGTGGTTGCTCATCGGGAAAGAGAATGTGGTACCAGGGAGAAGGGAGGGAGGGAGGGGTGGGGGAACAGAAACTGATACTGCCACCATAGTAAAACTGATTTGCTGTGCAAAGGCTCAAACACGCACCTTGTCAGGAATGGAAGCGACTCATACCCGTCCTTGTTGTCCTGCCCAATGATGAGTCAATTTTTGAGTCGACTCAGAAATCGACTCATCACACGCGGACTCATACCCGTCCTTGTTGTCCAGCCCAATGAAACCCCAGCTTTGGACAAGTATTCGCAAGTCCTCTTGAGATTCTGTTAAGGCAACCTCTCTCTGTCAAGGTGGAAGATTCAAGGATCAGATATACACCTTGCCAGCATACGGCAGCGACTCATCCCCATTCTTGATGTCGTGCCGCCCGTCGAACACGACGCTGGCGGAGCTGGTGAAGATAAGACGACGCACGCCAGCCTCCTGGCACGCTGCAATCACATTCTTCGTGCCTGACAGGCAGAGTGCCAAGCAGAACGGAGGGGAGAGGGTGATGAGATGAAGGCGGTTAAGGGGAGGGAAGGAGAATGGGGTAATAACGCACACTGGCGTCCTGGCATGTCGTAATCGTGTTCTTTCCTTGTTCGCGTTGCATTTGAGAATTATGTATAAAAACACTCCTCCAACATCGCCGGCCTCCTGGGATGTCGTTATCATGTTCCTTCCTTGTGCCTGACAGGCGGAGAGCCAAGCAAGGCGGTGGGGAGAGTTGGGGCGAGAAAGGTGCTTCGATAAGAACATCGTCCGGTTGATACACTTCAGAATAGACGTGTGCAAATAACTTTTTGAGAGGATGTTTACTTTTGATGCTTTCTCAAATGGTGCATGGGCGCCTGGGATGGGAAGGAAGCCAAAAATCAGAACCACTGAGCAGGCTTGTGTACCGAGCACGTTAACAGTGTTGTGGGGAGCGAGGTCCGTGAGAGCGTGGTTGGGCGAGTTGATTTTTGAGTCGACTCAAAAATCAAAATCAGACACAGTGAACAGAGCTACGTACCGAGCACGTTAACAGTGTAGTGGGGAGCGAGGTCCGTGAGAACGTGTTTGGACTCAAAAATCAGACTCAAAAGTCACCAGGATTAGCAAGGTACGTACCGAGCACGTTGACAGTGTAGTGGGGAGTGAGGTCCGTGAGGGCGTGGTTGGGCGACGCCATGTGAAACACCGCAGACGCGCCCTGGAAAGCTGCGCGCCCATTCATTCACCCATCAATACAAACATCCATTCGAGACAGGCAACACAGGAGAAGCTATGGATAAAGAAGCAGTACTGAGCAGGGATGCGAAAGTTCTTCTCAAAGCTCTACAGAAAGAAGCAGCGAGGATTTATGCGACTGGCGAGAGGCTGAAAGAGGTGCGGCAGTTGCGAGTTTCGCGCGCAAGGAACCATCTAAGAGATAGGTCCTTGTTGTTTTCCTTTTCAAAACTGTTCAACCTCCTCACCACATGTTCACGTGAACCAATTGCGTTTTCCTTCTCACATAATCATGTGACTGATCTGCGTTTCCCTCCCCGCATGTTCAGTTTAACAGTTTGCGTTTCTTCCGTCACAGAATCAGCTGACGGAAACGAGAAACCATTCAAGATCCACAACGTATTAGCCACCCAGTCGGACGCATTTGTGACGCAGTCACGCACATATGTCACACTGACCGTCCGATCGCACTCACCGTTAACCATGGCCGTCCGATCGCAGACATTCCCAGAGATGTACTCGAGCTGGCCGCTGCGCGCCGAATCCCTCACGAGCCCCGCCTCGCCCTCGCCGTTGGCCTCGTCGTCCGTGAGCCGGAGCTCGGGCGCCATGTCCACCACTCGCACCGTGCTCCATTCGCCCGTCGCTAACAGCTTGCGAACCAGCCAGCGACCCACGAAACCGCGACCCCCGGTTACCACACACACCTGGAGACGGGGATTCGAGGGAGACAGTGGGACCCGGTTGCGAGAGAGGATCGGAGGAAGAAGTGGGAGGGGGTCTTGCAGGTTTGGAATAGGGCTGGCGTAAGAAGAGCGCGATAATAGCTAGTAGAGCGCGAATCAACTAGACCATCTACATATTCTAGCGACAATCAACCGGTTTATGAGCGTGATAAAGAGAGGAGACATTGAACAAGTCTAAGCATGTGTGTATTCCAAGGCGAGTCACGACGGCTGACACGGATTCCGGAATATGATCTCAACACGCACCTGTCCAGCCATGGTTGGATTCAATGTCCTCAGCTAAACAACAGAGCGTGACCGATGAAGGCGTCGATATTCTTACGCTCAATGTAAGAGACGGCAATGTAGGAAACAGGAGGACGAGGGAATGTATGGATTTGTGGAGGAAGATAGATCGCGTTCAAGTTGTGTCTCCCAACTCCCAAGATCCAGGAGAGCCTTGCCAGGCATTGCCCCAAGTCCACGGAGTTTTCCAGGTAATGACTGCTTCACGGAAACGACATCGCTGATTGGTCAGCGTGTGGAGTTCGTCTGCTGCGTTCACCGATACTGTGTTTTAATGTAGCAAATACCGTACTTTATTATAATGATATCGGTGTTGACATTGCTTTCTCTACCAGTTTTGATATTGATCTCCTACAAAGAAAGTCAGCCACGTATAAGAACTCTCAGTAGTGTTCTTAGTCTTCATTGGTGAAAAGTGGCTCTTCCGCGTGGTAATTTTGGAGTGGTCGTTTTAAGTTCACGTGCTACTAGATTGAATTTGATTCGTCCATTACTATAGCCAGCCCACACTCTGTTCCACAATGCTTGCGTGGCACTCGTACATTCGCTTGAAATCGTTTTGCCCTCTCATGATCCCTCAAGAACGTTCTTTGCGCCTGCTATCTCGTTTGACCAATGAAAGGCAATTTTCCATTGAGGCGCATCAAGATTCAAGAAGCTCCACACGTATTGTCTTCCGATTTTTCGGTTCACACATTCCATCTGCCCGTTGAGCATTAGGCTGAAAATAAAGACTTATTAGATCTGTTTACCCCACAACAACTTCGACATTACGGCACAATCTTTCTGTACAATTGACCACAACGAGAGCTGGAATTATATGGAACTTTTCCACATTCAAACCTTTATCTGAACCCCGCGCACCCCAGCTGTCAATTGTAAGGCAAGGCAACCACCTCATCCAACCTCGGAGCCTCCAGGATGGCACAAGGAGTGTCGAGTCGCGCTAAGAGGCTTAACTGTGTGGAATTACCGCTGGAGAGCAGACCAGTGAACAGCATAAATAGACGGCGTTATCTTCCAGAAGACCATCAGGCAACGTGGTTTATCCAGTTTTACACCTCCGTTCTGCTCTCACAGCCTCCACTCTTGTCCATACACACACCAGAACTCGTTGCTTGGTCCTACACCCGCCTGACTGTGCCCAGTTTTCACTGCTCTTTATTGAGTCGGTGAAACCACAGCCTTCCTTCAGGCTCTTGTATATATCACGAAGTTCCGTGGCTGTAAATATCCCCATTGCAGGTACACTCGCACTCAAATCTCGTCTCGTCTCTTTCAGTCCAATCCTGTATAAATGGCTCCTCCCATGGGAGACGCGTCCGGCCCTACAGCCATGCTGATGCCCGACGTCAGCAGCGGGAGCCTCTTCATCCACCCGTCGGATTTCCATCACGGAAGCATCGATGGCCACGCAGCCGTCGATTCTCTCCGCCAGGCCCTTTTCACCTCTCAGTTCGACCGCGCCATCATCGATAAGACATTCTCCGATAAGGCCACTGCTGCTGTTGTCACCGAGCCGGCGAGCTACGAGGAAGGCTACGTGTACGACCCCACGGCGCCGATTCCGGCGGATGCAACGGATGTGGTGTTAGTCCGACACGGCGAGACGTTTTGGAACCACGACCACCGCCTGCAGGGCCAGCTCGACACGGAACTCAACGCCGCGGGCCTCGCGCAAGCTCAAGCTGTACGTTTTCTTCGCAGCTTTCCGTTATTGTTAACGATACGTGCAGTACTTTTTTTTTAAATGTTTTTTGTATATTGTTTATTTTCTAATTCCCGAACCTTGAGAACGTTGGGTTTCAGTCGTGCGATGAACTTACACACTTTAACGCGCGTGCAGGTCGCGGCGCGCTTCGCCACGTGGGAGTTCCCCTTCTGCGCCATCTACTCGTCGGACCTGCGACGCGCCGCGGACACCGCGCAGGCCATTGCGGACCGATCAGGATCCCGGGGGATTGTGAAGGACGCGGGGCTGCGCGAGCGCCACATCGGACATCTTCAGGGCTGTCTGGCCCACGAGGCGCCTTTCAAACAGCCGGAGGCGTTTAAGGCGTTTCAGTCGTCTGATCCCACTGTCGCCATTCCTGTAAGCGCGCCGCTGAACTTTACCCGCCTGCCAGCTCTTAATTGCTACGCAACAAGTTAATACGTGCTAAAACAAACGATATGTCAGGAGGGCCGCGGTTTTTCATCGTTTCGACAACTGAGAAACGCAATCCCGCGGCGACTCATTGCTCATTTCGTTTCAACCCTGCCTCTGTCTCCTCGTTTCGTCGGATTCAGGGGGGCGGAGAGAGCATGGCTCAACTGGTCGAGCGGACGAGCAAGACCGTGGAGAAGATCGCTCGCCATCACCGCGGTGAGTCAAGCTAGACATCGTATTGTAGCAACTCTTTCCCATCCCGTGGTTTCGAGATACAGTAGCACTGAAACTGCACGAGAATGAAAGTGAACGATCGAGCCTGGCCCACCCCAATTAGGGCGCGTGTCTTTTTAAATTTAGGCCAAAGTTCATGTTTTTTAGTCAATTTTTTGCAATTGAACACAGGTCGACCTGAAGTCGACTATCTCGTCATTTCATTGTCGAGTCGCGTGTTCACCTTGACGTGGAGCACATGGCACAAGAAATGTGTTCTGCCTGACCTCTGCCGACCTACGGTGCTCTTGTTATCTTCCGTGATTCCAGGCAAGCGCGTGGTTGTTGTTTGTCATGGTGCCGTGATGATGGCGCTGCACCGCCACGCGTTGGGACATGATTCGTCCATGGGGGTCATCAACGCGTCGATCAATATCGTCCGCCTGTCTGCTGATCACACGTGGCGCGTCCTGCACTGGGGTGATGTGAAGCATCTCGAGGGAGTGGAATTCGACCATGACGGCTTCGGCGGTGGCAAAGATTCCGCTTGAGACTTGTAACGAAGATACTTTGTACAGTGGGGAGGTATACTCAAAGCAGATCATGGAGAGGAGATAATGTACTACCGTATAATATATTGCTGACATACTTGGAAGCACCTACATCAAAACAATCTCCCATCAATCGATTGCACTATGACCCTAGACCAAGACAAACCACCTGCTGAGTCCGCTCCTCATTCCGTGCCAGCCCACTGGCCTGCCCCAAGCATTTAGAATGATGCCCCTGTTGGGAACAAATAGTCCTAAGCACCTTTGTCGTGTCGAAACACCAAGATACAAGCTAAGCAGCGCATATCGAAACACCAACGAGTCAACCCTCGGAGGTTGATGTAACCGCTGGAGATTACGCGAAAGTCAAAGGTCAGCGGCCTTTCACCTGACAAATGCAGCGCGACAGCAATGACACACAACTGACTCGACATTGAGCAGTTGGCCGAGTCGCACTGTATCGAACCGCAACAGTAAAGTAGTTATAATTACGTCTTTTCATATTCTCTGTATTCATATATATATTCTTGTATATCTTTGCTTTAATCAACTTACTTTGCCCTCACATACCAGCGCAAGGTGGTTCAAGGACTGTACTAAAAAACGTTTCCGCTATCACATCATTTACTCAAAGACTTCAACTCTACCAAAGATCCTAGGGCGCTCAGCCCAACATGGTATGAGAGCAGGTCAGAGTTAACTTATTTCTTCTCAATACTTAATACACCATGAAGATATGTCTACTAGAAAGGAGATGAGCTCCTCCAACGGCTCTCCCGGTACTACCCCTACTCCACCTCCTGCCTCTGGCCGGCAGACAGAGGAAGGGGCAACAACGAGACCGGCAGCTGGGTCTACTCAAACTCCCGCAAACCAAGGCGTGGGCTTCGATCCAAGCATGATGGAGAAATTCTTATCCTTCATGTCCTTCTACGAGCAGCATCACCAAGGAGGACCTGCGCAATCACACAACAGCAACAACAACGGAGCAACACCCATGAGTCTCGACGGCTCATCATATGCACGGAGAAACCAGCAACAACAGCCTACCTTTGCTCCGTACGAGCGCGGATCCATCAGCTTCATGCCACAACCACAGCCCTCACCTGGACAAGAAAAACAACTGGACGCACTGCAAGTTCAGTTGCAATTCGCACATGTTTTGAAGATGCAGACGTCAAGACCTTTCGACGGAAAGGATTTCTTCACCTGGTCGTTCGAGTTCAAACTGATGATGGAAGGCGCGCATATACTCGGGTTCTTCGACGAGACCCTGCCATATCCAACAAACGGCACATAGTACGAGAAGTAGCAATACACCTATCAGTCAATGATGGCGTACACGATCCTACTGAGAAATATCACCCCGACTCAACAGCAGAACATAAGGACCTACCGAGGTTACAGTAACTCCGCGGAGCTCGCGTACAACTATCTGAAGAGCCTGTATCTTGCAACAGACAGTGTAAGTCAAAGTCGGTTAATGGCGCAACTGACAACAATTGAAATGAAACCAGGAGAGAAAGGACAGGCGTATATCAGTCGATTTCGCGAATTGCGCGGCAAGCTTCTTCGACGCGGAGGGTCGATTTGTGAAGACGCCTTCGTGACAGTCATCATCGGCAGCCTCGGTCCTCAATGGCGCACCACAAAGGCCATCCTCCGAGCTCACGGGAGAATCTCCGAAGTAGCTATCTGCGCCGAAATCCATGCCGAGCAGCAAGACATGGACCTGCAAGAAGAACGACATAAAAAGAAGACGTCAGCACCAGAGTTCGCGTTCCACACCCAGCGACGCTACAACAACAACAACAACAATCGGCAGCAACAACTGAAGCCAGTACCTTCGTTTTGCCACATCTGCAAAACTTCAGGGCATCCTCGTACGCACTGCTCGAATCGTCAACAATAGACAACACCACAGCGATAACTTCGGCCTTCAAGCACCCAAGTCACTTCAACGCAAGCAAATCCCACGACAAAGATTCAAGCTTCTACGACTTCAACAGGACAACCTGCACAAGGAGCAAGAAACATCGTCAACTGCATGGCAAAGATAACACACTCCTGCATCACCGAGTCACCACCGCACTACTCTCAAGAAGAACGACTCGACGAAACCACACCCCGCCGCGAGTCACTTCAGCCGAACCCGACATACGCCGCCATCGCCCAAAGCGAGCCATCCGGAAGGGACACTTGGCTCTTGGACAGCTGCTGCGGACAGCACATGTGTTCCTCAGGACGTTTCGTTCAACGTGAGCACCAACTTCAACGAGAATTCGTCATCACCGTCGCCAATAATCAGAACCTGCGGACGCGACGACAAGGAGTAGTGCAACTTCAGTCATGGGAGACGAATGTCGTACTACAAATGTCAAAAGTCCTGATAGCAGAAGGACTCGGCTACAACTTACTGAGTGTCTACCAGCTGATGTCGAAGGGTATTCATCTCGAAGCACAGTACCACCCAAGAATTCAAGCTGTACCATGGGAAAAGAGGACTCTACATCGGTAGGGCGATCCTCAAGAACAACGTCTTCGTTCTTGACTTCGTCCCCGATCTTGGCACTGCCGACAGCGACGCCATCGTGAACTTCACCGTTTGGACACACCCTCCGGATCTCGACCCCGACTTCAGTCCGGAAGGCTTCTGGTATTCACATACCATCCTTGAAGCAGAACAAACACGTGCGTTAGTAACAATATAACATTCGGCAGCAGCAGAGACAACATCGGTAGCAGCAGAGACAACATCGGCAGCAACAGAGACAACATCGGCAGCAGCAGAGACAACATCGGCAGCAGCAGAGACAACATCGGCAGCAGCAGAGACAACATCGGCAGGAGCAGAAACATCATCGGCAGCAGCAGAAACATCGTCAGCAGCAGCAGGAACAACGACACCAGTCCTCGTTGACGAAGCACCACCAACACCTGCATAGCAGCTGAATCCAACTCAACGGGAAGTCCACAGCAGCGCAAACTTCGTCGCCAGTTTCTACTCTCCGACGCGTATCGACGCTCACCCGGACACCCGGACCCGGAATCTGGCACGTACGCATGGGACATCCAAGCAACACTGCGTTAAACAACACAATAAGAGCAGGAGTCCTTCAGAAGGACTCATTACTACTACCCGACGGCAGAGAACTTCAACGGGCACGAGGAGCTTGCCTTACCTGCCCCGAAGCCGACTTACCACACCGACCGTTCATTCCTCATCACAACCCGAGCGCACTCGCGTACGCACCACTCGAGAAGGTGTGCAAGGATATCCTCTTCAATCGAGAACCAAGACAAGTTACATACAACTACACGATCACCTTCATCGACGACGCCACACGTTACGTCTGGCACCTAAACCTACCTAGCCGCGACATGGCACTCGCAGCCTTCGCTGCCTGGCTACCAGTAGCAGAGCGAGAGTCAGGCGCACAACTGAAAAGCTTCCAGTCAGACGGAGGGGGAGAACACACCTCTCAACGATTCAAGCAGTACCTGGCGGAAAGAGGAATCAAGCAGCTCCTCTCTCTTCCCTACGCCCACCACCAGCAAGGTGTCGCAGAAAGAATGAACAGGACTCTGCAGAACAGCATGCGCAAACTGTTACGTGGCATGCGGCTACCCAACCACCAGTGGCCTGCAGCAATGGACCACGCTGTCATGCTGCACAAATTGATGTCGTCGTCTTCACTTCCGAACAATGCATCACCGCATCTGCTGTGGATAGGGAAATAGGGCAGCACAAAAATGTTACGAGTTTTTGGGTGCATGGTACAATACCGACCCCCAGAAGCACGAGCGGGAAGATTTTCACAACGCGCACAGTGGGGACTACACCTTGGCATCGAAAAGAACTACAACGCGTGGAAAATCTTTGACGTCCACTCCAAGGAATCAGTAGCAGCACGTGACGTAATCTTCTACGAACGACTCATGCTTCAGACGTACCTTGCCAACTTGCACGAAAATCAAGATCCCACAGGCGGTTTTCGTGGTGACCGAGCCTTCGCCTCAGCAGCGGACGAAGCAGACTGGGACGAGCAGAATGTGGACAACGTATTTGAAGAAGCCGGACCTCTCCCGTTTTGCTCCGTCAACGTCCCCATGGACGAAGAAAACCCTCGCGAAAGCGCCAACGCCGAAGTCTTCTACCACTTCGCCGACAATGGTTACGTAACACCTGCGACAGTCAACACCAACGAAGCAGAATGGATAGGGCCGAATTTCTTACCCGACCCAGAAGCGGGAGATGAAGCAGCTTATCTTGAGGACGCAACTCTTCCCCGCTACTCACAGACTGGACTGCAGATTCTCGGGCTCGTCACCGCAGTCCACGGCAATGCTCTCCCTAAAGAGCCTGCGATGGTTCAGCAGGCTCTAGGGGGGGAACACAGGGAAAAATGGCGTGAAGCCATGGACAGAGAATTAAAGGCGCTGGAGGAACGGAACACCTGGAAAGTTGTTCCCATCAGCGTGGCAAGGAACAAGACCATTCTGTCAGAACTTATAGCTTATGCTTTTGTGTAGGCTATAGTGGGGTATCCCATAGGGGGTACAACCCAATTAGGTTTGGTACTTGTGTCAGAATATTATCTTATTGTTCTAGCCTGTAGTGGGGTGCTCTATAGCGAGTACAACCCTTTCTAGGGTTTGCTATTTGTATCCTCATTCTTGCTAGTTCAATCCTCTTTCTTCCTTCTAACTTTGACATGCTATCAGAGCAGGTCGATCCCCTTGGATCGATCCTGTGGGTGTGTCCCCACCTTGCTTCCGCTGCTACTTTTTCCTCCCGCCGTGCGCCCCGAGGCGCGCGGCGGTTTTCTGCCCGCCGTGCGCCCCGAGGCGCGCGGCGGTTCATTGCCCGCTGTGCGCCCCGTGGCGCGCGGCGGGCTTCTCCTCTACGTCGCGGCCCCGCCCCGGCCCGTCGCCGCCCGTGCGCCCGCTCGACGCGGCCCTGCTCTACGTCGCGGCCCCGCCCCGGCCCGTCGCCGCCCGTGCGCCTGCCCGGCTCGGCCCCGCCCTACCTGCTCGGCCCCGCCCTTCGTCACGGCCCCGCCCCTCGAAGCGGCCCCGCCCTACGTCGCGGCCCCGCCCCGACCGTCGCGGCCCCGCCCCTTGTCGCGGCCCCGCCCTACGTCGCGGCCCCGCCCTATGTCGCGGCCCCGCCCCTCGAAGCGGCCCCGCCCTACGTCGCGGCCCCGCCCCGCTCGTCGCGGCCCCGCCCCTTGTCGCGGCCCCGCCCTCCAACCAGGCTCGTGGTGGGCCCCTTTCACCACACCGCCTCCCCCCCCCCCCCTGCCATTTCCCGTCGTCCGTCGTGGCGACCTGAGGGGGCCGCTTGGCGAGCTGTGGGGTGGCGGGTATGGGGGTGGTCGGTGTGCCTTCCTCCCTTTCTCCTCCTCCTCCTTCGTCTCCCACTGCTGCAGCTGTCGCTGAGGGGGGTGGTTGTGTGGGAGACTGCATTTAGGGTTTAAGGGGGGTGCGTGGGAGTAGAGCTAGTGGTGTAGCAGTGGGTGTGTATCAGGGGGGTGGGACTGTGTGCGGGAGGATGAGCGGAGGTTGCCAGTTTGTCGTCAGCAGCACCTGTAGTCCAGGGCGCTGTCCCGATAGCCCAGTCGTAGCCAGCTGTGCCAGCCGCCCGTGGGTCCGTTGCCCGTCCGCCGCTATTTGAGCCGCGGGGCCTGTTACTCCTGTAGTCCGGGCGCTGTCCGGTAGCCGCTGTGCCAGTCTGCCTCCTGTTGCCCGTGTGTCTGCAGCTTCAGCCGTCGCCTCCTGTCTCCTCTCCCCTCACTCTCCCTCCTCCTCCTCACTTGCCCGTTGTGACTACCACTAGCTTTGCTTATAATTGTGAACTCTAAACTATTTCTTCTTGACCTTGTGCTCAGAATGCGTGGTGACATTGTGATCCACCCTGAGCTTGTACTGTTTTGCCTGCTTTGTTGATTACACCCCACTTTGGCTATGGGGGTGTGTCAGAATATTATCTTATTGTTTTAGCCTGTAGTGGGGTGCTCTATAGCGAGTACAACCCTTCTAGGGTTTGCTATTTGTATCCTCATTCTTGCTAGTTCAATCCTCTTTCTTCCTTCTAACTTTGACAACTTGTACTCACACATTTCATAGTTCATTCATTCGTGTTCTTTTGTTTCACATGGAATCAGAGCAGGTTCCCTCCTAGGGACTGCTTCTAGGGCCCACCGAAGCGCGCCCCGAGGCGCGTTCTTCTTTTTTTTCGCGACCCTGTGTGTCGCCTCTAGCGGCCCGTCGCGCCGCCCTTCCTTAGCGGCCCTGCCGCCCTGCACTATGCGGCCTCGCCGCCCCTCATTACGCGGCCCCGCCGCCCTTTGATCGCGGCCCCGCCGCCTCTGCTCTCGCGGCCCCGCCGCCCTTCCCTCGCGGCCCCGTCGCCTTGCTGTCGCGGCCTCGCCGCCCTTTCGTCGCGGCCCCGCCGCTCCTTCATCGCGGCCCCGCCGCCCCTGCTCTCGCGGTCCCGCCGCCCTTACGTCGCGGCCCCGCCGCCCTTGCATCGCGGCCCCGCCGCCCCTGCTCTCGCGGCCCCGCCGCCCTTAAGTCGCGGCCCCGCCGCCCCTGCTCTTGCGGCCCCGCCGCCCCATGTACATCGCTCTCTATTACATAGTCACTCGCCTCCCTAACTCCCTTCTCTTAGTCAGGGACCACTTCCTCTCAGTCTGTCCCACCACTCTCACTGTTGACCTCCTTGAGAAGGCCCTCCTAGCGGCAGAGAAGAGCATAGTCGCTGTAAGAGCCTCCCGTGGAGACCCGCGCACCCCCATCTTTGAGGGGTGTTCTCCTTCCCCCCTGCTGCCCTCTGTTGCCTCTGCTGCTGCTGCCAACCTACTTGGTCTTGAGTCGGTCGGCGCAGCGTCTGCCCCTAGCGGGAGACACCGCCCTGGCAAGGGCAAGGGGGGCAAGGGCGTGGGTGGAGCTGGCGGGGGCGGTGGAGGTGGCGGTGGAGGCGGCGGAGGGAGTGGGGGTGGCGGTGGGAGTGGTGGCGGGAGTGGTGGCGGTGGCGGCGGCAGCGACGGCGGAGGCGGTGGCCGCGGAGGCGGTGGTGGTGGCGGAGGTGGAGGCGGTGGTGGCGGAGGAGGTGGAGCTGGTCGGGGTAGTGCCCCGCAGCTGAGCGACTCTGGTGGTGGTCCGCGGCAGCAGCAGCAGCAGCAGCGGCAGCAGCGTGCTCGGGACGTCCCCACGCCTCAGCAGCTACGTGAGTGGTACACGCAGAGTCAGCGTGGTGGAGGCTTTAGCCAGTGCACCTACGTTCTTCACAGCGGCGACCGCGCGGGTGAGCAGTGTGGGGGTGCCCACTCCACCCGGCGCTGCTTTGGCCGCCTGACGGACGCTTGGCGTCAGCAGTTCCCTGACGCTTTTGAGATCCCCCGCTGGGGAGACCTTTCTAGAGCTGATGTATCGATCTTTGAGCTAGACTTTGATTCCCTCCTTGCTGCCATGTATGCTGTGTCTATTAGTGATGAGGGTGACTGTTACCGGTGTTTCCCGCCTGACCCGGGCATTGGTACGGCTGCGCTAGGTGCGTGTGACACTGCTGCGCTCTCAGGTGCTGGTGAGGTTGCGCTCTCAGGTACTGGTGAGGCTGCGCTCTCAGGTACTGGTGAGGCTGCGCTCTCAGGTACCGCGTCGGCTTCGGCCTCCCTCACCTTTACGCTTGACTCTGGGGCTTCTCGCTCCTTCTTTCGGGACCGCACCACACTCACGCCACTTGGCCGGCCGGTTGCGGTCTCCCTGGCTGACCCCTCTGGGGGTCCTGTCCTCTCTCACTTCTCAACTGTCCTACCGTGTCCAGCTGCCCCCTCGGGCACCCTGTCTGGTCTGTACCTCCCCTCGTTCTCGACGAACTTGGTGAGTGGTGCTGCCCTACAGGATGCGGGGGTTCACCAGTTTACTCCTGCGAGTCAGCGGGTGACCCACTGCACGGACGCTCGCACAGGTCGGCACCTGGCCACGTTCTCCCGTCGGCCGGGGTCGAGCCTCTATACCCTGACCATTGAGTCTCCTCCTGACCCTGTATCTAGCCAGGTAGCTGCGTCGGGTCAGGTGTTTGCTGCTGCGTCCAGGTCTGGTCTTGAGTCTGCCCCCTGCTCGTGTCGCCTCCTGTCTCACGAGACTCTCCTGTGGCACCACCGTCTTGGCCACCCCTCCTTGCCCCGTCTGAGGGACATCGCTTCCCGTGTCCTTGTCTCTGGTCTTCCCTGGTCTCTCCCTCCCCTTCCTTCGGGGCCAGGACCTTCCTCTGTCCCTTGTATGGAGGGGCGCCTCCAGGCTGCCCTCCAGTCCTTCCAGTTTCCTCCGATAGAGGCTCCTCTGCAGACGCTTCACATGGACGTGTGGGGCCCGGCCCGCGTCCGTGGACAGGGTCACGAGCGCTACTTTCTGCTGGTGGTTGACGACTACTCGCGTTTCACCACAGTCTTCCCCTTGCGCAGCAAGGGTGATGTCACTGAGGTGTTGATCGACTGGATCCGCGCAGCTCGTCTCCAGCTCAGGAGGAGCTTCGGCTCGGACTTTCCTGTTCTGCGTCTGCACTCTGACTGAGGCGGAGAGTTTTCCTCTGGTTTTCTGAGAGCCTACTGTCGTGCACAGGGCATCCGCCAGACCTTTACGCTTCCGGACTCTCCACAAAAAAATGGGATTGCTGAGCGCCGCATTGGCATGGTCATGGACGTCGCTCGTACGTCCATGATGCATGCGGCTGCCCCTCATTTTCTGTGGCCGTTTGCGGTACGGTACGCGGCGCATCAGATCAACCTTCACCCCGGGGTTTCCCGCCCGGGGAAGGTCCATACCTCCCCGGCCTTCCTGTGGACTGGGAAGGTCGGCGATGCGTCTGCGTTCCGTGTCTGGGGATCTCGGGCGTTTGTCCGCGACTTGTCTGCGGACAAGCTGTCCCCCCGTGCTGCTCCCTGTGTCTTCCTTGGCTTCCCCCCTGACGCTCCAGGGTAGCAATTCTACCACCCCTCCTCTCGTCGTGTTCTGTCCTCCCAGGACGTCACATTCGACGAGTCAGTCCCCTTCTACCGCCTCTTCCCCTACCGCACTCCTTCCCTCCCCCCGCCACCGGACTTCCTTGTGCCAGGTCCCCCCACGGTAGACCCCCTACCCCCTCAGGTTCCTGCCCCTTCAGGTGTGTCCCAGGTAGACGTAGTCGAGCCGGTCGAGGTTGATGGTGACTCTAGTCCTGCTGCGAGTGCTGAGCCTGGGGGTGCTGACTCTGGGGGTGCTGTGCGCGTGGGTGCTGAGCTTGGGGGTGACGAGCCTGAGGGTGCTGAGCCTGGGGGTGCTGTGCGCGTGGGTGCTGAGCCTTGGGGTGACGAGCCTGAGGTTGCTGAGTCTGGGGGTGCTGCGCCAGAGGGTGTTGAGCCTGGAGGTGCTGCGTCTGGAGCTGCTGAGCCGGGAGGTGCGGAGCCTACAGCCACTGGACCTCCCCTTGTGGCGTCTGGCGGTGCTGGGCCTGGAGGTTCTCCGGGTGCTCCGTCTTGGCAGGAACCCCTCCCTCCACAGGAGCTGCGCGAGCGGTTTGCTTGCCGCTGGAGGCGTACTACTGGAGCTCGAGCTTCTTCGGCCGCTGAGGGTGCTGGTGCCGCCGGTCCTGGAGCTGGTGGGCCTTCTGGTCCTACTGGAGCTGGAGCTGCTGAGGGTGTTGGTGCTGAGACTGCTGCTGTCTATCCTGGCGGTGGTCCTACTGCTGGTGCCACTGGAGGTCTTGCCGCTGGAGGGTTCTGGTGCTGTCCTTGCTGTGCCTGGAGTCCCCACGCGGCCTCGGCCGTACTTCGTTCCGCTCCTGCAGCAGGTTCTTGGTCTTCCTCCTTCTGTAGAGTGTCCGCCGTCTGTCCAGTCGCCGTCACTGTTAGAGCCGGCCTCCCCACTGCCTGCTCCCTCTCCTTACACTGGTCCTACTAGAGGTCTCGCTGAGAGTCGTGAGCCTTCGTCTCGTCCCGCGTCGCCTGTTCGTGCTGCTCGCACTAGTGGTCGCGGTTCGCATCAGCGTCCTCCTCCTGTCCCTGACACGCACCGGATGTCTCTGCGTCCGTCCACTGCTCCTCTGCGTGCCCCTTTGCCTTCTCCTCCTGAGTCCTCTCTTCCTGCGCTTTCCGAGCCGGAGTCGGACTCTCTTCGTGCTGCCAGTCCTACTGTCACGCGTCTTCTTGCTACTGTTGTCACTGACCCCTCTTTTGAGTCCACTACTGCGTCTGCTCTTGTCGCTGAGCTCGTCGACTTTGCTGCTCGCTGACGTCTAGACTACGGTGCTAGTCTTGTTGTTGAGTCTGCGTCTGTCTGTCCTCCGTCCGTTGGGGGTGAGTGTGCTCTTGGCATGGACGTCCTTGAGGACAGGCAAGAGGAGTTCCACTGTCTGGCTGCTGCTTCACCTCATCTCACGTCTGTACTGCTTGCCCCTAAGGGAGACCCGGATGCACTAGACATCCCGACTCCGCGTTCTGACGCGGAAGCCGTAGAGGGTCCCTACTCCTCTCAGTGGCAGGCAGCTATGGATGCAAAGATGGCTTCCTGGAAGTCCACAGGCACCTACGTTGACGCGGTTCCCCCTCCTGGAGCGAACATCGTCAGTGGCATGTGGATCTTCAGGGTGAAGCGGCCGCCGGGCTCTCCACCTGTCTTCAAGGCGCGGTACGTCGCTCGTGGCTTCAGTCAGTGGCAGGGAGTTGACTACTTTCAGACCTTCTCTCCCACCCCGAAGATGACCACTCTTCGGGTGCTGCTACACATAGCCGCTCAGCGCGACTACGAGCTTCACTCTCTTGACTTCAGCACTGCTTTCTTGCAGGGTGGCCTGCACGAGGAGATCTGGCTGCGCCGTCGACCTGGCTTCACTGGGACTTTCCCTCCTGGCACCCAGTGGAGCCTCCGACGGCCAGTCTACGGTCTCCGCCAGGCACTGCGTGAGTGGCACGACACACTGAGGACTACGCTTGCGGCTCTTGGGTTTGCTCCCTCTACTGCTGACCCGTCGTTGTTTCTGCGCACCGACACCTCTCTGCCGCCGTTCTACATCCTCGTGTACGTCGACGACTTGGTCTTTGCCACTGCTGACACTGCTGGACTCGCCTACGTGAAGTCTGAGCTACAGAAAAGACACATGTGCACAGACCTGGGTGAACTGCGTAGCTACCTTGGCTTGCAGATCACCCGCGACAGAGCACGCCGCACCATTACCTTAACTCAGTCACACATGGTGCAGCAGGTCCTTCAGCGCTTCGGCTTCACGTACTCCTCGCCTCAGGCCACTCCTCTGACTACTCGCCACTCGCTCTCAGCTCTGCCTTCGGATGAGTCCGTAGAGTCGAGTGGCCCGTACCCAGAGCTTGTTGGCTGCCTCATGTACCTGATGACCTGCACACGACCTGACCTTGCATACCCTCTGAGCATTCTGGCACGCTATGTTGCTCCTGGGAGACACCGACTAGAGCACATGGCTGCAGCGAAGAGGGTGTTGCGCTACTTGTGCAGTACGTCGGGCATGGGGCTAGTGCTTGGAGGGCGGAGTCCAGTGGTCCTCACTGGTCACGCGGACGCTTCTTGGGCTGACGACCAGGCTACGCAGCGGTCGTCGCAGGGGTACACCTTCAGTCTTGGTTATGGCTCTGTCTCTTGGCGGGCTACTCGCTCGTCTTCTGTTCTCGGCTCTAGTTGTGAGGCTGAGATCCACGCCGGGGCCATGGCTGCACAGGAGCTTCGCTGGCTCACCTACCTGCTGACTGACCTTGGAGAGGTGCCTTGTTCTCCTCCAGTGCTGTACGTAGACAACAAGGCCATGCTGGCCTTGTGTCGAGAGCAGCGTTTGGAGCACAGAACGAAGCACATTGCTCTCCGTTACTTCCTTGCTCGTGAGCTGCAGCAGCGTGGTCAGTTGCGACTTGCGTACATGGCCTCTGAGGCCAACACTGCTGATGTTTTCACCAAGGCACTTTCGCCTTGTGATCATCAGCGCTTCTGCACTCAGCTGGGACTTGTACCAGTCCTACCTCACTTGCTCACCTCTTGAATTTGCTTGTACTCTTGCATATATATATACCTGCTCTTGCTTGTTTAGCCTTATATATATATATATATACATATATATATATGTCTCGTCTTGCATGTGAACTGGCCTTGTGGCCTTGACCTTGTGCTCGGACTGTGTGGTGACTTTGTGATCCACCCTGAGCTTTGTTTTGCTTTGCTTGACTGGTCTTGTGACCCCTTGTTCTCCCCCACTTTGCCTATGGGGGTGTGTCGGAACTTATAGCTTATGCTTTTGTGCAGGCTATAGTGGGGTATCCCATAGGGGGTACAACCCAATTAGGGTTGGTACTTGTACTCACACATTTCATAGTTCATTCATTCGTGTTCTTACGTTTCACACATTCTCACCAGGAAATGGGTCTTCCGCATCAAAACGAAGGCAGACGGCACAATTGAAAAAATCAAAGCACGCTGGGTTGTGCGTGGATTCGATCAAGAGCACGGACGGGACTTGACCGAGACATTCGCCCCGGTTAGCCGACATACCTCACTTCGAATTCTCCTCGCGATCGTCGCTATGAAGAAGAAGAAACTACGGTAAATTGATGTCGCCAACGCGTTCCTCTACGCACCCGTCGACGCGGAAATCTTCGTCGAGCTTCCACACGGTACCCACGGGGAACCTAGCCAAGTTTGTCAAATGCTAAAATGGCTCTTTGGGATCAAACAGGCCCCGCGGCTATGGCAACAGTACCTACACGCTCGCCTCACTCGCATCAGATTCCGCCAACTGCCTCACGACCAAGGGATGTACCGACTCACCAAAAACACCGACTACATTCTGCAGATCGTCTACGTAGACAACTTACTCTACATCGGCTCTACTGATGACATCACCACCTGGTTCGAAGGGGAGCTACAGAGGGACCTCACACTCTCGGTCTCCTCTACCGTCACACAGTACCTCGGCTTGAACATTCGGGAGGAAGAAGGCGCGATCTACCTCAACTCCGCTAAGTACGCCGACACCATTGCCAAACGCTTCGCGCTCACACCTACCGCCATCTCTACGCCCTACCGCTACACGACAGGAAAACACAATGAAGGATCCTCTCTACTCAAATCCGCCGGAATACGCGACTACCAGAGAAAACTGGGCTGCCTTCTCTTCGCAGCCGTCACCTGCCGCCCAGACCTATCCTACTCCGCAAGTCAACTCGCCACCTACCTCAAAAGACCTGAAGCAGAACACCTGGCGGAACTCGACCGCGCTCTCCACTACTTCGTAAGCACCTCAACGATTGGTATGACATACTACAAGAACACAACTACACCGACGAAATTAATCGGCTACGTCGACGCCGATCACGCTGGCGACTTAGACAATAGGCGCTCCCGCACTGGCTACATCTACCGCCTCGTACCTATCGGACCGATCTCCTGGCAATCGAGCAAGCAGGAACTAATCGCTCTCTCTTCAGCTGAAGCAGAATATATCGCACTCTGCTCAGCCACTAAGGAAGGACTCTATGTTCGCGAGCTGCTGGAAGAAGCGAAGTTAGCCGAGTTACCCAACTTCACTCTGTTCTGCGACAACCAATCTGCGATTCGCATCGCCAACAAAAGCGGATTCGCGATCAGAACGAAGCATATCGCTCTGCGATATTTCTTTGTGAAAGATGAGATGGAGAAAGGGAAACTCGAACTATCCTACTGTCCCACGTCCGAGATGGCACCTGACTACTTGACCAAGAAGCTCGGAAAACAGAAGTTCGAGTACTGCATGCTGCTGACTGGACAAAGCCACGTTACCATCAACGACACTCCAGAAGCAAAGGGGAGTGTTGGGAACAAACAGTCCTAAGCGCCTCTGTCGTGTCGAAACACCAAGACACAAGCGAAGCAGCGCATATCGAAACACCAACGAGTCAACCCTCGGAGGTTGATGTAACCGTTGGAGGTTACGCGAAAGTCAAAGTTCAGCAACCTTTGACCTGACAAATGCAGCGCGACAGCAAGGACACACAACTGACTCGACATTGAGCAGTTGCCCGAGTCGCACTGTATCGAACCGCAACAGTGAAGTAGTTATAATTATGTCTCTTCATATTCTCTGTATTCATATTTATATTTTCTTGTACCTCTTTGGTTTAATCAACTTACTTTGCCCTCACATACCAGCGCAAGGTGGTTCAAAGACTTTACTCAAAGCGCTTCCGCTACTACATTACTTTACTCAGACTTCAACTCTACCAAAGATCCTAGGGCGTTCAGCCCAACAGCCCCAAGCACTTTGAATGATGACCAAATTTCTGTGGCATGGATAATATCAGATCAATCTACCACTAGTGATTAGCAATATGATCCTAAAACAAGAATAAACACCTGCAAAGCCAGCCTAGCGCCAGACATCATTCTGCACCCTTTTCTACATGCCTTTTGGCCAGAGGTCTATAACTTACAGTAAGACTGAAAATAGTACTTATGACAATGCCAAGTGAACTAGGCGGATGCGAAGTGAAGGTCAGGAGGCAGCTCCACACCCAGATCCAGATCGTCTAGAAACATGCTGAAATCCTCCAACCCCTGCTGCTGCACTCCCCTCTCATGCCCTTGCTGCTGCTGGCCCAGCTGATGCAGCTCCTCCTGCTGGGAATGCCAGGGGGGCAGTTCCCCTTCTGGCAGAAAGAGAGTGCTGTGGGAGTTAGTGTGTGAAGTGTCTTGCCTCTGCATAGCGTTGAGAGGGAAAGGGAGGGGGAGAGGCACAAAGGGATGAACGAGTTTTTAGACGTCTTAAACCTCCTCCTGCTGGGTGTGCCAGGGGGGCAGTTCCCCTTCTGGCAGGAAGAGAGTGCTGTGGGCGTTAGTGTGTGAGGGTTCCTGTTTCTGCATGGCGTTGAGAGGGAAGGGGAGAGGGAGAGGAACAGAAAGATAGTGGGTGTGAGTGTGAGGGTGTGTGTGAATGCCTCTGCGTGCAAATGTGTGTGGTGCAAGTAGGGAAAGGTTGGGACGGTGTGCCAGTGTGAGTACAGGGGTATGCTGTGCATGGGAGTGTGAGTACGGGGGTGTGCATGGGAGTGCGCCTGTCGTGAGTCTTTGCACTGACCTCAAAAGCACCACTGGAGGGACTCGGTTGGGCAGTGGCAGTAACATTAGTGACAGCGTCACGAGGCGTGGGGAGAGCAGAGTCCCCCCCAGGGCCCCACATGTCAACGTCCCCCACCTCCATCATCAGCAGATCCTCCCCTCCCACCTGCACCTTTTCCCCTCCCCTTCCCTCTACCCCTCCTCCTCCTACCACTTCTCTTCCATCTCCTGCTCCTCCTCCTCCTCCCCCTCCCACTCCACCTCCCACCCCTCCTAGTCCTGTTAGGCTGGTCAAAGCAAGGCTTCTGTCCCAAGTGCTGCCAGGTGTCGACCCATGATTAGCCAGTAAATCTGCTGTAGAATGGCCTGTGCCTTGACTGGGTGACAGCACACCCGGTTTCACATCAACTGTAGATGACAGCGTGTTGCCCAAGTGATTGCCGCCCAAGATGTGACTGCCACCAAAGTGACTGCCACCCATATGGTTGCCACCCAGGTGGCTGTTTATTTGAGCTCCATTTTGTCTTGTATCGAGCCCTGTGCTCCACCCTCCCATATCTTCCACCTTCCACACCCCTCCTCTCCCACCACCCGCACCTACTTGTCCTCCCACTGCCCCGGCTACCCCTCCCACTGCCCCGGCTACCCCTCCCATCCTTGCCTCATTCCCAACACCTCCAGCCAAACCCCCTCCCCTTCCTCTCCCCACACCTCTCCCCGCTCCTCCCTCTACCCCTGCTGCCGTGCCTGCACCACCAATCATTCGGTCTATCCCGTCCGAACCACCACTATCACTACCATCACTACCATCCTCCTCTTCCTCCTCATCCTCCCCATCCTCCTCTTCTTCCTCCTCCTCTTCACCTCCCTCTCTCTTCAAACTCAGCGCCTTCCTCCGTTCGGCAACCTCAACCTTCAGCCGATCCAGCAGGGCTTTCCGAGCCTGCGCCGAGCCTGCTGCCATTTCATTCAGCTTCCGCTGCAGCAGTGCCTGAACCTGCTTCTCAGCTTCGGAAGGATCACTAGCCTTCAAAGGCCGCTTTACCCCTCCTCCTCCTGCTGCTGCTGCTCCTCCTGCTCCTGTTGCTGCTCCTCCTGCTGCCGTTGCTACACCGGCAGCAACACCAGCAGCAGCAGCCCTACCAGAAACGTCAGCAGCAACGGCGGTACTACCACCCGCACCCCCACCTCTTTCATCAGCAGAACCTTCCCCAGCTGAACCTTCCCCAGCTGACCCTGCCTCGGCTGCATCCAGCTCCATTCTAAGCCGCGCAGCTAGAGCTGCTGCCCCCGCCTGCTTCCCCAACATCTTAATTATCCCGTCCAGACCACCCCCTGCTGCCCCTCCTCCTGCCCTTCCCCCACTTGCTCCTCCTCCCCTTCCACCTCCTCCTCCACCTCCCCCTCCTCCTCCACCTCCCCCTCTACCTCCTCCTCCTCTCCCGCCACCACCGTTACTGTTTCCCACTCCCCCTGCTCCTCCTCCCCTTCCTGTCCCGTCTGTAGCTCCAGACCCACCCACAACAGTTCTACCTACTCCAGAAGAACCCGCCTGGGATTCTTTCTGAGCCCTCTTGGTGATCTGAGTGGCTAGTATGTGCACCTCAGGAGCCGTTAGATCGCCGCCGGCCATCATCTGCCCTAGGATCGCCAGCGCCATAGCCTCTTTCGAAGGTGCGGGAACAGGCTCGGAAGCACCTTCCGAACCTCCCGCTGCAGACGAGCTAGCTGCCTTGCCAAAGCTAGCTGACTTGGTGAGGCTAGCTGTCTTGCCGAGGCTGGTTGAAGCTCCTACCGTGCCTGAACTCGCTGCCGGACCTCCAGACATGGAAACAGCAGCGGATGAAGGGTCCAGCCGCCGCGTCGTCACTCCCGGTCCCGGACCTAAGGACGAGCTTCGGTTGAGCGTGGTGCCGAGCCTGCTTCCAGGCCCGCGAACGAGGCTCGGAGATGGATCCGCCAAGCCACCCGGTGCAAATGCAGACGGGGACGCAGATGCAGTACTGGCAGCACCAGCAGCAGCACCAGCAGCAGCAGTAGCACCACCAATACTAGCAGCGGCTGCACCAGCAGCAGCAGCGGCGGCAGCAGGAGCAGCACCAGGTGATCTAGCATCAAGGTCAAAGTCGGGAAACGACTCTCGGCTGAGCCTCCTATGCAACTCCGGTGTTGCACGCCGCTTCCTCAGAGGACCCTGCTGTGCCAACGTCCCCCCACTCCCACCCCCTCCCCCGAATCCACCCAGTGTAGGTGACTGTATCGAAGGTGATAGAAACGCAGGGGACAGGATCGCATCCAGCCTATCCCCAGCACTCGTCACCTCCATAGGCACCCGTGGGGAGGAGTCCACCGCTTTGGACCCACTCCCACCTGGCGAAACCAGCCCACCGGCAGACGCACCAGCAGAGCCACCAGCCGCACCAGCAGGAGCACCTGAGAATTCACCTGAGGACCCTCGGCTCATGGCAGCGCGGGAGAGCTTGACAGCAGCGGCCAGAGAGGGGTCGTTGAACTCAGCCTGCCTCGCCAGCTTCCGAAACTGCTCCTCTGCTCGCCTTCTCTCCTCTTCTGACGTCGAAAACGTTGCAAATGCCGCCCCAAGACCCTGCCTTTGCGTCGAGTCGAAGGGAGAAAAGGCGGCTTCTAGACCCTGTAGCCCACCTGACCCGAAGCTGCCTTGCCTCCTTGCTGTTGCGGCTGTCGCTCCTGCTGGTGCTCGTTCCTCCCCACTGGCAGCACCAGCACAAGTCTCCCCTCCTGGTGTACCCTGGCCCTGCCCATCTGCCCCTCCCGACCCTTGCCTTGAAACCCCTGCATCACCACCAGCACCACCGGCACCACCGGCACCAGCACCAGCATTACCATCACCGGCAGCAGACGCACCAGCCCCAACCATCCCCTCTCCTGAACTCCCCTCTCTCGCACTGCCCACCGCACTCAACCCAGCACATTCCATCTCCTCCGCGCCACCACCACTGTCCTCCTCCCATGGCCGTTTCAAGCTGCCACTGCCGCCACCCCCACACAGCCTCTCCCTCGCACCACCACCACCACCACCACCAGCACCACCAGCATTACCACCTGCACCAGTTGCACCTGCCCCAGCTGACCCCGTGCCGCCTGCTCCGCCCGTGCTGCCGCAAGCTGCCCCTCCGCTCTCTCCCCCACTTCCCCAGCTCATGCGGGAGCGGGGAGAGGAGGCTGCACTAGTGGTGGTATTGGTGTTGGTGTTGGTATTGGTGTTTGTGTTGGTTAGAGTGTTAGTGGTGGTGGTGGCGCGCAGGGGGCTGGTGCTGCTGCGGTGGGGGCGGGGGGAGCCGTACGGGGAGCGGTTGAAGGGAGAGGGGGAGGAGCCGCGAGATGCTTGGATTCGAAGGCTCTGCTGCTCTGACCGCTGCTGCTGCTGATGCTGATGCTGCTCTGACTGTTGCTGCTCCAGCTGCTGCTGCTGCAGCATTCGCACAGGTCCTCCTGCGGATGAAGCGCGAACAATATTAGATTGCATCACCTCACTCTGCTTCCCCTCTCCCCCTCCTCCCCACCCTTCCCCTCCCCCCCCTGCCCCTCCTCCCCGTGTCAGTACTGCTAAAACGTCTGCTGCTGATAGAGAATGCGAGCGCCCGCCAGGTGTCAGCTTGCGATTGGCCGGCAACTGAGAGCCCGCCATGGGTGCGGCAGCCGCAGCTCCGGAAGCAGAAGGCGGAATAGCAGGTATGGTTGCCGAACCTGACGGGGAGCTCAGGATAGACAGCTGCGCCAAGGCTCGCTGCGTGGTCCGCTTGGGAGAGTCAGATCTCGGCGGATCGAATCTAAGAGGACCCGGTCTAGAATTCTGGCTTAATCTAGACGAAGGTGGGTGAGCGATGGAGGGGGTATGGCGCGTGGAAGGATGGGGGGAGGAGGCGATAGAATGGGAAGGGGAGGCGGAGGGGCCATGAGAGGATGGGGAGGAGGGATGCGGGGGGAGGTGGGAGGGTGGCATGGGGAGCGGTTTGGCGATGCTTGCAGGTGTGGTGGAAGTTTCCGGGATGAAATCAGGGAGGAAGACTCCTGGAATCTTCTGCAGCTGCTCGAATTTCTCTTTGAGGCCCTGTGAAATGCTCGGGTCCTCCTTAATCTGTTGTGGGGAACGAGCGGGGGGAGGGGGAAAGGAGGGGAGGGGACGGGAGGGGATGGGGAGAGCAGGGAAGGGAGGGAAGAAGTGGGAAGAGTTTACTTTCTGAGTTGAGTGAATATCATGCTGCGATGTGAGAGCTCCGAGGGGATTTGCGGGGATGGGATGGGAGGGGATGGGGAAGGTTGGGAGGTATGAAAAAGGGATGGGAGGGTATGAAAAGGGACGGGAAGGGAAGGGATGGGAAGGGATTGGATGGGATAGGCTACAGAAGCGTAAGAGTGACTGTGATTGGCTGTACACAACACACCACACCGCGGGACGTACCAGGAATCGACTTGGTCCTGAGTCGACTCCTGGAAGTGGTGTGATTGACCTTTTGCAACACAACAAACTACACCACACCACGACACACCACGCCACAGCACAACACACCACAACCACACGAGAAGACGTACCAGGAGCACAGAGCCAAGCTGAACAGCCCCGCCCGGGACTGGGATTATGGCAATGGTCTGCAGGTGGGGTGCACAGTACAAGTGGAGGAGGAGGAGAAGCGAGAGAGAAAGATAGAGCGAGGGAGTGAGTGATACGAGGGTATGAGGCATGAGAGAGAGCAAGGAAAGGAATACAGGCGATGTGAAAGGGAGCAGCACAAGAGGGAACCGCCAGCACTGAAAGCTGGCAGCGATATCAGCGGACTGACCTTGATGCCAGACGCGAAGTGCTCCGCCCAGCCAGGTGGATGCTGCATGGGGGAGAAACACGGGGATGAAGGGAGAGTGGGGGGCAGAGGTGAGTGCGTCTGTGTGTGTGGTGCTTGGCTTTTGAGGTGCCTCAAAACTCTGCACGGAGGTGAGGTGAGTGCGTCTGCTTCTCGTTCCACACACACACAGATACACGATGACACACACTCTCAATCCCTCACGCGATCACAAACTCCACACTCAATCACTCGCTTACTCACACACACTCACACACACTCACACACACCTGGCTCTGCACGGAGTTGAGAGTATCAGCGTGGTACTTGGCATGGCTGTACACCCACTCTGCTGCCTCTAATGCGGCACACTCCCTCACACTCTCACACACCATCACCCCCACACACACACCTGGCTCTGCACGGAGTTGAGAGTATCAGCGTGGTACTTGGCATGGCTGTACACCCACTCCGCTGCCTCCGATGCCACACTCACGCCCACCAGCCTGGGGGAAAGGGGAGGAAAGCGTGAGGTAATGAGGGGAGAGGAGAGTGAGAGGGAACGACGGAGTGGGGGGATGAGGGAAGAGGGAGACGAGAAGAACGAAGGCACGTGAAAAAAGGAGTGTTTTGAGACGTCTCAAAACACTCCTTTTTTCACGAAGGGCACTCTTAGGGCACACGAAGCGAGACTCTCTTCCAAGCTAGCTCAGCAACAGTGGGATGTCAGGAACCCTAACCCGGTCACTACAAGCACGCCTCTTGACTTTCCAACTGGGATCGGACCCTACCCTACGCCATTACATCAGACTAAACCAAGAGATGGGGCAAACCAAGGTTCGCAGCATGGACCTGCTTCCAGTCGCAGAGTCTTTCTGAACAAATGCCAACGCTCCTTATCCCCCACATAGCAGCCCTACCCGTCGCCATGGTTACAGAACTGGTGGATGAGCGTCAACTACGTCTCATGCAGTGCAGTTGCTAGCTTCCAGCCATCACTCCTTTCATCTGAACGAACGCCTATTCAGCAGTTGTTCTCAATAGCCAAAGCCCCCCCAACCCCAAACTGTCCAAACACAGCAGTCCTACCCTTCGTCATAGCTATCGATATGATAGAACAGCACAGCTTCAGCTATGTCTCGTAAAGTGCAGCTTCTTCCAGTTCCAGCACAGTTCCTTCCTCTGAACTAACATCAAAACCCAAGCGCCCAACCCAACTCATAATTCTTCCAAGCAACCGTACCCTTCGCCGTAGTTATAGATCTGATACGAGAACTTCAGATACGTGGCGTGCAGCTGCTTCCAGTCGTAAGAGAGCTCGTCTAAAACGGGTACAGCGTCTGCCTGGCGGCTGCTGCTGCTGCCGCCCCCGCCCGCACTAGAAGCCGAATTGCGCAACCGGGCCATCTGGTCCTCCAGCTTCTTAAGCACGGCGTGAGGGACCAGGTACCCGTCCTCCCACATGAGCACCCTGTGGAGTGCGAGGGGAAGGGGAGAGGGAGGGAGACATGGGGTGAGCCAGCGTGCCATCTGGTCCTCCAGCTTCTGAGCATGGCGTGTGAGGGACCAGATACCCGTCCTCCCACATGAGCACCCTGTGGAGTGCGAGGGGAAGGGGAGAGGGAGGGAGACATGGGGTGAGCCAGCGTGCCATCTGGTCCTCCAGCTTCTGAGCATGGCGTGTGAGGGACCAGATACCCGTCCTCCCACATGGGCACGTTTTTTAGTCGACTCAAAAACAGACTCAGAAACAGACTAAAAAATCGACTCAAAAACAGGTTTTGAGTCGACCCAAAAGCATGGCGTGGGGGACCAGGTACCCGTCCCCCACATGAGCACCCCGTGGGTTGGTGCAGGGCGGGGAGAGAGGGGAATGGGGGGTGGAGACTCGGGTGGGGAAGACGTGTGAGAGGGAATTATTGGAAGGGGAAAGATGGGAGAGGGATGGCGCCACTGTGCCATCTGCTCCTCGGGTGATGAGTCGATTTTCGAGTCGACTTAGAAATCGACTCATAACACGAGGGGAGAGGAATAGCGCCACTGTGCAATCTGCTCCTCGGGGGGAAGGGTAGAGTTGATTCAAAGAAATGAGGGGATCGGGTTGTTGTGTTGTGTGTGCTGGGTGGAAGGAAAGGAGGGAATTAGAAAATAGAAACCTCCAACTGAGTCTTAAATCGACACGAATGATCCTGTCCGAGCAACTTCGCGCGCCAGCAAGATGAAACGAGACGAACCGAGATGTAACTAGGGATGTGTGGAAATGCGGAGAGACATGACGAGCCGGGTTTCGGCCTTCCAAGCGCCTCAAAGGTAGTAATGGCACAGTTAGGGCTTCGGTTTCAGTCATTGAGGGCCCCAATGGTCGTTCAGCTGGCAATTCAGAAGTGGAGGAAGAGGAAGAAGAGGAGGAAGAGGTGGAGGGGAGATTACCAGTTATCGTCGTCCTCGCGTTTCATCATTCGGTTTCCCCTTATCGGTACATTTCTGCGAGAACGATCAAAACGCAGAACAGAAGCCAGCGAAACGAACGAGTGAATCAGGCTTCGCGACGACGGACGCGCTGCGACTAAGGACGGGATGCGACTACGGACGCGATGCTACTAAGGACGCGATGCGAGAAAGGAAATGGAAAACTAAGCTTCGATAAGCTTCGGTTTTCTGCATTGAACGCGCAGGCGAGTGCTCGACTCTTCGCGATCCCAATCCGTCAAACACGACTTGAAACAACGTATAGACAATCTGGAGTCTGCAGGGGTTACGTTTGCGACGTTCGCGGAACCGCGCGACGCTTCAGTCTCCAGAAGACGGAGTACGTCCATCCATTCTGCAGGCACAAGTCCTTAAGCACCTGTCGCAGCAGGTACATGGGCCTCTGCGCTAGCACGGCGCTCGGAACCTGCCTAGGGTTTGTCGCCATTGTTGTACTGTCGTCAAAACCTAGGAGTTATAAATAAATTAAATAAGCAAAACCACCTCAAATTGCTCGTCTACAGCCAAACAACCCTAATCATACAGCTGTTGCACGGCAGCGCCATCGTAAGGAAACGCTTCTAGGGGAAAGCCTGAGCGAAACGATTCAAACTTCTGACCAACAGCTAGTTGAGAAGCCCAAGAATCGAGGAACCCGGGAACTGAGGAGGAACCTAGAAAGGACGTGTCAGATCAACTCCTGAAGCTATCAAGGTTGTACACCCTGTTTCTCGACCCTCTCACCTTGCGCGATTCGCTGCTACAGTGCGGTCAGGTGCCATAAACCGTATGGCTGAAACCTGCGGGCAAAGCCGCACCAGCTGACGGAGTGGTACTGGGGGCAAAATTTTTCTTTATCGCTGTATACCCTTTTCAACCGCTTTGAATAGCTTGGTTAATGTTCTTTACCATGCAGCATCCTAGCTAACCGCTTTCTTGTGAATGTGCTTGTACCGTCGGTGATAAGACCATTTCAAACGTGGTGACGTTCTACAACCAGTGCATGTTCTGCAACCAGATGCTCTGCTAGCGCGAAACAGGGTGTATATGGCGAATAGCACGCACCACTGTTTACAGCAAGTTGGAATGGATTGCCACTGAAAGCTGGAATGGGCTTCTATTCTATTGCTGGAATACTGGGACAGGTGACGGGAGTCTAGGTGAAGGGAAGGGAACGGACTGACGAAATTGAAAGATCCCGTTTTGCGAAGTCCTCTTGCCCCTTTTTCTCGGTCCTCGGGTTTTTGCACGACAGTCGGCTGGCTGGGCCTGGAAGTCTCGGCGAAAAAAGACGTTCCGTAGTAACAAATCGTCTAGAAGACCACACCTCGGATACTCTCGCAATTGACCTCCCTCGACTTTGGTCGATCCAACTGCGATCAACTGGCAATTTTGATGGCAGCAGCGACTTGTGGTGGCTCCAGGGGCGTTGTGCAGGCCAGCTCAATCTTTCACGGGCTGGCAAACTGTTGCTAGTCGACAGGGAACAATTGGCGTTTAGGGAATGCCCTACAACAAGGCAAATTTGTTTCTTAGATCTCCTTCGGCCTGAGGAGGCGACCAATGATGTGTAGCGAAGTTAGCGGAGGAATATGAACCCCACTGGTTGGCACGTGGGCCTGAGCCAAATCTACATGTACGCGCTGAACACCCACTCATCACGTTGAAGTGAAACATACCGGTACACCACCCTAGGCTTTTATAAGTACATCCACGTTAACTTCGCTTCTGAAGTTACCACTACAAGACTGATTGATCCGCAACTGTCAGCAGCTACCTAGTAAACTAGCAATTGCAACAAAATCTTGGAGATCAGTATATTTTTCAATTATTCGCATATCAGCAGCATCACCAGTCTAGGACTATCTAGTGATGACAATATCGTCGATTTTGAGAATCATCCTAACGCACTCTGCAGCGAGGGAAATGGCGCTTGTGCTCACGAGCAGCGGCTGCACCACATTCTCCTCAAACATGTTGCTGATCGCACCCTTGCGCACATTGATGCCCGCACTAACCTGTAACATGGTTACATGATTCCAGGGATCGGCAGAGAGATGTTCAGGGTTCAGAACAGGAAGTTGTTCGTCATTAACCCACTAGGTGTTCTTTTCAGCAGGGCATTTTCTTAGGGAGGGAGGGAGGGTTAACACCTGTGGATACAAGAGTAGCCTTTTATGTACTTCAACTGATAAGGGAACGGCAGCACACACCGATAATAACGCAGAAACCCATGCGCTCAATCGAAAAAAATCACTATCAACCGGTCCGTACCACATGAGCAGTTCTGCACAAATCGCTCCCCCCCCACTCCCCTCTCTCGTCACTCCCTCCCCCTGCCCCCGTCTTGCTGGGTACTCGAAGCTCACCTCTGCCTCACCATGTTTGCTCCCCATTTTCAAGTTAACCAATAAACTTTGCTGAGCACTCACCTCCCCCTCGGCGTGTTTGCGGCGCAGGTCAGTGACAGTGAGAATGGGGTTGAGTTTTTTTGTGTTTCTGTGCATGCATGTGTGTGTGTGTGTGCGTGTGTGTGCGTGTGTGTGTGTGTGTGTGTGTGTGTGTATGTGTATGTGTAATGGGGTTGAGTTTTTTTTTTTTTTTTTCCCCAGATTTCCTACATAGCGTCTGTTTCCTGCTCTCCCCCCTTCCCCCACACCATGGGCTGGTTGCTGAGAGCTCACCTCCCCCTCGGCATGCTTGTTGCGCAGCTCAGTGACGATGGAGATGGGGTTCAGCCCTGCATTCTCCGCTAGCGTGTACGGCACCACCTGCCGAAAGAAGAGAAGAGCAGAGCATAAGTGTGGTTGGCAGGAGGGAAGGGGGGGAAGGGGTTGAAGTTCACATATTGACCTCTCCATTTCCACCCACTCCCCTCAACGTGTCAACAGTCAGCAGTCAACGGTTAGCAGTCAACAGTCAGCAGTCAACGGCTAGAATTCAACAGTCAGCAGTCAACAGTCAAGCAATCATCGGCTAGCAGTCAACAGTCAAGCAATCAACGGCTGGGAGTCAACAGTTTGCAACTAGAATTCGCAGTCAACATACCTCCAGGGCCTGTGCGAACGCCCTCGCGCAGTAGCTCTCCTTGCCCTCCAGCTGCTTGCTCCACGCCGCCAGCTGCCGGCTGACCTCTATCTCCGGCGCCCCTCCGCCAGCAATGAGGAAGCGCTTGTTGACGAGGCAGCGCACGACACAGAGCGCGTCATGCAGGCTGCGCTCCGCCTCCTCCAGCACCAGGCTGTTGGACCCTCGCACGACCACGCTCATGGTCCGCCCCATGTCCTTGATGCCCGTGATTTTCACCACCTGTTGTGGTATGAGGAGGAGCGGGAGAGGCAGGGGAAGGGGGAATGAAAGGATTTAAAAAACCCTTACAGCTCAACTCAAGCACAATTCATCCCCAAAAGATACTCACCCACCACAGCTGGCCCACTCCCCACAGCTACTCACCCGGCCCTCCCCCACAGGAACCTCCTCCACCAGATCCGCCTGCCCAAGTTTCTCCGCGCGGAAGTGCTCCGGATTTGCAATGGGCAGGCAGTTGAGCGTGCGGCTGATGAACTCAATGTCGTCCCGCTCCACGTCCTTCACAACCAGGATCTTGGCCTTGGCCAGGTAGTGCAGCGACAGGTCTGTCACCGCGTCGCGCAGGATGGACTTCTGAATGAGGAGAACGTTGCACCCCGTGGCGCGGATCTTCTTGATGATGTTGAGAATGTAGTTGCGCTCCTCCTTGAGGATACGGTCCATCTGAGTCCAGTGATAGAGAGAGGAGGGGAAACCAACAGCAGATGGGGCGCAAGGAGGGAGCACAGGCAGCACCGGGCGAAGCTGAATCACCTGTGTTCACTCGAACTACACTCGGGCAACGCACGAGCAATGCGTTGAGAGATTCTCGTCTTTCACCTGTGTTCACTCGAACTACACTCGATCACTTGCCTCGTGTCCCACCCGACTTGCACGAGCAATGCGTTGAGAGATTCTCGTCTTTCACCTGTGTTCACTCGAACTACACTCGATCACTTGCCTCGTGTCCCACCCGACTTGCACGAGCAATGCGTTGAGAGATTCTCGTCTTTCACCTGTGTTCACTCCAACTACACTCGATCACTTGCCTCGTGTCCCACCCGACTTGCACGAGCAATGCGTTGAGAGATTCTCGTCTTTCACCTGTGTTCACTCGAACTACACTCGATCACTTGCCCCGTGTCCCACCCGACCTGGTAGGCAACCGGGCGGCAATTCAACCGGGCAGCAGCTCAACTGGGCGGCAGCTCTGGGCGGCAGCTCACCTGGGTGTAGTCGGAGACGACCACGGACTGCTCCATGTCGGTTTTGGGCGGCGAGATCTGGAACTGAATCAGCCCAATCTTCGCCTTCTCCACTCTTGACGGCCCGCCTGCTGCGTGGCTCGCCTTGCGGTCAAACACCAGCCCGCGCACCATCTCCGTGTCATCCACCTGTGAGTGGGGGGAGTGGAGGAGGGGGGCAGAATAAGAATCAAGTAGAAGAGGTGGTGTGGCTCGCCTTGCAGTAAAACAC